CACTCTATTGTTTTTCCTCATTGTTCACTTTGTTTTGGAACATGTGATAGAAAACTTCTGCAAGAAACATATAATCACATCCCCATTTAATATACTCTGATTAAGACATCGTAAATTCACATAATGTATGATATAATGTTTAGAATTAATTCCTAAATCTAGATAAAAATTCCTAAACATATCAAGAAAATATACCATCTTTGAAAATACTGGGCCATGTCTTGAACAATCTTATATTAATGTTTTCCAATGAAGTGAAAATATACCAACATGTGCCAAACTGAATAATTTACTATATTAATGTTTTCCAATGAAGTGAAAATATACCAACCTGTGCAAAACTGAATGTAGTTTCATAAGCTAGACAACTCATACAGTTTGAATTTAGGAATGTAAAATCAGAAGTGCTTACTACTCAGAGTAGTAAACTCTTTGGTTTCATGAGCTGAAATCCATTACTGAATGAGAGACTTCCTTTAGCTTCTGCTGGAGAGTGCCATCTTTTCCTCACACCTTTAGAAATCAGTAAGAACAGAGCGACTTTGCAGGGCTCTGCCATTTTTGCTATTACAGCACAAGCTTAGGTATGCAAGCATAGTTAATAAAACTTCACATTACTCTGAAAATTCTCTATTGATGTTCAAGAAAATAAGGCTGAAAGGTACAAAGATGAATGATCTACCTCAAGAGCCCATAATAATTAAACCCCACCTCAGCGTGGCCAGCAAGACCAGGAGCTGCACCACTGTAAGGAAGAACAGACTTTGTGCAATCTCTTTGCTGCAGGGTGAGTTTGTCCCACTTCACAGTTCTGAATCAGAAGAATAAATGTGGTTTATTCTATCCAAGTCTGTAATATTCTATTATTTATAATAATGGTATTTGGACTAGATGATTGAGGTACGTTTTTCTGTTCTGCTCTATTCTATTGAAACTATTTGGGATATTTTGGGCTAAGCTCCTATATGTTTACATAGTAACTTTTAGTGATAGCCAGAAGGAATCCAGTGAATGGTTTATACAGAGAAGCATTAAGGACTGAAATTGATTGTAAACTCCAAAACTTAATCTAGAAGGATTAGGGCATCTCCTTAAATCAAAGAATTGAGCAGTTGTTGTTGACAATTGTCAATTTGTGAAGCTAGTGAAGTAAACACACCATCACCAGAGATTTACAGAGCACCTCAGGCAAGATGCTAAGCAACTCCCAGCCCATCAGCAGAGTGACCTGTTGGTCAGTTTCTAGGGCATGAGATCTGATGGCATGGCATCCTGGTCATTTGAAGACTGGCAATGTGCAACAATCAGTTTTAGTAAACATCAGCAACTCAGGGGAGTGGTGGTGTTGGAATAGAAATTGCATCAGTAGTAATTTGCCTTTCTTGGTCAATGGTAAAAAAAGAAATGACCATCCCTCACCCACTAACTGTGGTTCTGTAAAGCAGTTCTGGTCCAAAAGATCTTAAACTCACTACTGGTGGTTTAGAAGCAACTGAAAGGGTGGCTATCTGCATAGGTCCTTTGAATGCTCTGTTCCGTTGAGAAACAGCTATCCTAAGTGGTAACAATTTCTGGAAAGGAAATCTTGTTAGCAAAGTATATTCTTGAAAATAGAAAGAAATTCAGGCTAATTGTATAAGGTACAGGAATATTACAAGTATTGTAAAGCCCAGAGTTGAAGGGTTAGAAAATTTAGAGTTATGATTAAATGTTTCAAGGGAAGAAATGCATTTAATCCCTGATTCTTCCCTGAGAGACAATCAAGCAGTAATCACAGCAATAAGACATTTTGAAATCTTACACTGATGAAATCGCTTTTAAAATGACACTGTGCCATAACAAGGTCTTTGAACTAATGGGAAATAAATGTCTACCAAAAAAAGCCATTTAGCTGTGGAAAGTTATGCCTATTGAAAGCAGTGGAAATTAGAAGCCATTTTGTTAATTTGATGCAGAGATGCACAGGGTTTCATTAAGGTCTAACACTTCAAAGAATAAGTATCTGTGTGGCTCCATTTACACGATCATTCAGAACAAAACCGAAAGTCTCCTGGTGGATACTGTCTTTGCTAAATACCCTATTTTTAATAATTTCATTAATTAATTTATCTGTAAATTTTCAGAGGGAAAAAAACCCAAACCAAAACATTTTACTGTCAGAGAATAAATACCAAATGTTGTAGAAAAGATACCATTTATTCATTTATTCATTTTGTAGTTAAGTAGAGATCTCCATTCAGCTGTGACATTAAATTGATGCTTCTACAATTAAAATACATCGTAAATAGTTTCCAGAGTGCTAATAAATTACTAAAACTGTTTGAGGAAGTTATTAATCAGATGTTATAGCCTGTTACTGAGTTCAAGGATGTAATGCATCACTTGCAATCAACTACAGCCTCCAAAATGAATGCACCTAAGACAATGTACAGAACTCATAGTTACTAATAAACCATTTGAATAGCAATTATGAAAGCAGACTCAGAAGAATATGTATAGAACACTTCTGGTCATCTGCAGAACAAACCAGGAAATAACTCCAAGAGTCATCTATAAGTGAAAGGGTAAAAACTCCCATAGTTCTCTCCCATTGTCTTCTAGTAGTGTGACATCACCAAGACCAGAAGAAAAGCCTTAGCACAACTATGAAGAGATGTGAAAATCACTCCATGGGCCACCTCATCTACTGCAGGTAGCTGCTTTGGGTAGACAGAGGAAGAAGAGTCCAGACAAGCACAGATATGTTAACTGCTGCTGAAATAGGATTCTTAACATCAGATATTGCCTGCAGACTCCAGCTACACAAACCACCCTTGTACTTCTCTCTGAAGTACTGACCTGGCCATTATAGCTGTGACATATTCATTTACCTTTTAGCTTCTGTAGGTTCTTTTCAAGTTGGTGAGGAAAAAACTACTTCTTCATCTTTTCTCATTTTTTATGTTTTATTCTCAACTTACTTTTTATTGCTAGTGTTTGTGTATGGCAACAAAGGTAGAAGGAAGAAGTCACACATCTTTCCAAATAAAATGATACTGATATGATAGCACAATCTAATATGGTTGCTAGCAATCCATACTTACAAGCCAAATACTCAACCCTTGAATTCTTCCCCCCTATTTGTGTGCTTGCACATAGAACTGCACATCAGGATTAGGATATCTTATATCTCTCCACTGTCATCTCTCAGCTGCCACAGCTGAAGATTTCATACACCAAACAAATCACAGCTCTAACTGGAAATGAAGACTACTCTATGTTGGAAACAAGTTTTGGAAAAATATGGCCAGATTTTTCTTTTTGATCTGAGCTAAAGGGTAACTGTGGCTTTGAAAATGTAGCAAACTGCAATAATAACTTTTGACAGCTACTAAAGGGGGAGACAAGCCAGTGCACTTAGCCAGCATACATCCACCTTTTCTGAACATACAGCACTTCCACTGACCTTGGCAGGCATTAAAAAAGCATGCAAAAACCAAGTACAAAAAATGGAAGCATATGTTAGCTGTGATATGATGCTGCTATTGCAAATGGCTGTCTTGAACAGAAGAAAGGGTAAGTAAAGCCATTAGACACAGCACTGGTATATGGCTTCCTGCATGTACTGTATCAAATATAACATTATGTTTTTAAGAATTCATAATGTCTCTATTCCATACACAAAACTACAGATGCATATTACAACTAATGTTACAATAGAAGATATCTAAAAGAATATACCTCACTGGTAAACACAGCCTGTACCTCATGTCTGCTTTCTAATAATTTCTACCTAAATGTATTTAAAAATATTATATAAGCTTACTATAGAACAATTGCATGGACATTCTCTGCCTGATGGCAGCTGAAAGATTTTTTGTTTTCTGAATGGCAGATCTGTCATTACTGAATGTAGTAAATATATATGGCATACAAAAGATCATCTATGAGATCCCATGGAGAAAAAAGCTAAGGAGAAACCATGGTGTAGTTAATTCTGAATATGAGCAGATGAAACTATCCATATTCAATGAGTTGACATCACACTTCACTCTGTTCACTGAACTTGCTGTAATTCTAAATTGGGAGAAACAGAAAAAAACATGCATTATAATGTTTTCCTAGAATATAATGTAGGATTAGCAGATGAAGCAGTACTAGCTTGAAAATGCCACCATTATAAAAAATAATAAATCAAAAAATAATTTATTTATGATGAGGATGAGCTTAAAAAAGCAAAAGATGAGTTTCTTAACAACTGATCAACATAAAAATGAGAATTACATGACATTCTCCTTGGAGGATATAGATAAGAGCACCTTTGCATTTGCAAACAGTGGCACAGATGACAAGGAACCCCAAAACCTTCTTTGCCTCTTCCTTTCTGCCACTGAAAGACTATTTCCTGCTGTGGGGCAGAAGCTGGAATCTAAATTAGGATGAATCATTTTCCATAAATATCCAAGTCCTTCCTCCTATTCTTTTTTTACCTCTCCTCTCTTCTCCTCTCCCCTCCCCTCCCCTCCTCCCCACCCCACTCCACTCCACCCCACTCCACTCACTTTTCCTCTCCCATCCCCTCTTCCATACCATCCCATCTTTTTCTGTCATTTCTCTTTCATGTAAACACTCAAAATACCTTCTCACCCCAGCATCTTAAAAAGGCAGAGGAAGAGTAGATAGATCGTCTGTGTTAGTTACAGTGTGGTACTGCTATTGCGGTCACCCTGCCCTTCTATTCCTGTTCATCTTATTTTCAGGTGTTAAACATAAGGAACACATTAAAAAAAAAACCCAAAGCACATGCTTTGAATACACTGAAGAAGCATCAGCATCAGAGGCTGTTCATAATTACATTTAAAACTTGAGGCTGCGTGCCTCAGACTAATCCACTAAGCCACTATTCAGAGTTTTGATTTGCCTAGCAGCTCTGGTAAAACATAGCATCAGCTCCTAGAAAAGTGGGCTTCTGAGCTCTAATTCTCCCTTTTCACTTTGAACGTTTGTCCTGGTGTGTTCATGTCCCATTCCCACAAAATGAGAGTGCTAATACATAGCTGTCTTACAAGAATGTTAGGAAGGTTAATTAATGCCTGTAAAGAATGCAGACATTTTAAGGCACAACAATCATCCTAATTCATCTAATCAGACCCAGACAAAATATACAACAGCCATCCCCACTATTTTTGCCCTGCAGTTACCATTTCAGTAAATTATATTTTTTTGCAGGGCAACAAAATGAGAAATTATGAAAAGCTCTGAATAGAACAGGTTTTTCTGGTGAACTCACTAGACCAATGTGCCAACTTACCTTGTCTGGATAAATCAGTGAAAAGGGATTTTGTCCACAGGCACCTCTAATTTAATTAGTAAAATATAAAGTGGAGGAATAAAACCCAAAACCACAGACCATGACGAGTTTAATGTCTCTTGGAGAAGGCTCTGAGCCAAGCTCTAGCCATGTTTGGAATTGTAAATAGAACCATGGGAAAGGAAAGCACACTACTTGTAATGCACATTCAGTTACACTGGGATTACAATGGAAAAAGCTCACATGGTTTATGAGGAAAACCCGAGCTTTTATACAGAGAATGCAAGAATTACTGAGCAAGTAAATATGTGTTCAAGTAAATGTATGTTCAGGCCTCAAGCCTCAATTTCTGAGCCAAGTCTTAGTTCTCCCTCTAGCTCTCCCTTATACCTCATGCAATTCCTCTCTCTTCTTTCCACCAGTGAGCCAACACAGCACACTACAGTGCAGGGTACAGACAAGCTTATTAGCTTGAAACAAACTTGCTCAGGATCCAGAAGCCTTTCAGTCAGAACAATGTGATGCTGTTTAAAGTAGCTGTAAGAAATCCAGGGGTTCAATTGCTGTGAGCATCCAAGAAGCCCTCCAGACATTACCTACCCCTGTTGTAAGTCTCACCCTGTGAATCTGAATGGCATCGATTGCTGAAGAAATAGATTCAAAGAAGACAGGAGTTTCAGATTCAAGATTTCCACCGTACTGCAGTGCTTTTATCAAGGAAGCTGCAATAAAACAAACATGTGAGCATTGCTAAGGTAGTGAGGATATATAAACCATCAAGAGTTTTGCTGTAAGCTGATACTTGCCTTTGCAGTGTGCTAGCAACACATTGATGTGTCTGCTTTTACAGTCCATGTAAACCTATATGTGTGAAAACATGAAATTAGGAAAAAAAACACCAACCTGTTCAAAATACCAAGAGAGAAGAAAATACTCAAAAAGATAATACTCAAAGCAGGCAGAGACCAGTGCTGCTGTTGAAGCTATACTGCCAGTGGCCACCAGAGTGCGCTCTTCTATAATTGTAACACCACAAACTCACCCTCATTTCCTCTGCCTGCCTCAAAGGCCTCTACAACTCTGCTGAGAATTGTATCTGACTTTGATTAACAATTTTGTGGTTTTTACTATGTTTTAGGGCTTTTTTTCACAGTTCCTTTTTTCAGCAAGTTTTCGCACCTCCTCTCTGTGTGTTTACCTACCAGTCCACAACAACAGGAATCAGACCTAGGAAACAGAGACTCACAGCAGTCTGTCTGCAGAAAGTTCTCTATTCTTTCTTTAAAAACGTTCAGCCTCACAGAGACTAAACATTCAATAAGCTATTGAAGTAAAAAAAAATAATCTGAAAATAACCCTTTAATCAGAGGAGAGCCTTTTTCTGAAGGATAAGGAACATCCAAAGCAGACCCTGCTTCAAAAAATGTTTAAATAAGCCATGTAAAGTGGAACAATTCTGAGAGGAGAAATTAAAGGAGAAACAAGTCAGAACATCCTATTTTAAAAACAAACCAAAAGCCCAAGTAAGTATAAAAATCCCTTCAACTTTAGCAGCAGGGAAAGAATGTAACAGCAAATACACCTTGAGTATGTTTCTCCTCTGAGTAACAACTCAGTCTTGGACCAGTCATTCACTCAGACACTGCACTCCCAAACTTACCTCTCATAGTCAAATACTTCTTTGACATAATGTGCAGTTAATTCTGAGGTCTCAAGATCTTTTGGAAGCAGGGGCCTGAGACCTAATGCCAAATCTAGACTTCTGTCTTACAAAAAAAATTATATGAACCAAACTTTGCATACCCACTTAAATCTGTACCCACTGCACAACTATTAAACACCAGACCCAATGGAAACATAAGGAATAGATTACGAGCATATTTTTTTACCCATTATATAGAACCACTGATTACATAGAGACATAGACCCATTTAGGTTGGAAAACAACATTAAGACCATGAAGTCCATTCAGTAACCCAGCACTGCCAAGTCCACCACTAAACCATGTCCCTAAGCACCGTCTACACGTCTTTTAAATACCTCTGGGGTGGTGACCCAAACACTTCCTGGGCAACCTGTCCCAGGGTTGACAACCCTTTTGGTATCCAGTCTAAATGTCCCCTGGCATAACTTGAGGATATTTCCTGTCATTTGTTACTTGGGAGCAGAGACTGGCCCCCACCTCTCTACAACCTCCTTTCCGGTAGCTGTAGAGAGTGATAAGGCCCCGCCATGAGCCTCCTTTCCTCCAGACTGAACAACCCCAGTTCCCTCAGCCACTTCTCGTCAGACCTGTGCTCCAGGCCCTTCACCAGCTTCGTTGCCCTTCTCTAGACCTGCTCCAGCACCTCGATACCTCTCTTGTAGTGACAGGCCCAAGAGTGAACACAGTATACAAGGTGTGGCCTCACCAGTGCCGAGTACACGCGGATGATCACTGCTCTTCTCCTGCCAGCCCTCCTATTTCTGATCCAGGCCAGAATGGATGCCTGGGCACACTGCTGGCTCATATGTAGTCGGCCATGAACCAACACCCCCCGGTCCTTTTCTCCACTACGTACAGACACTTTCATTTGCACTGAATGTCACCTAAAATCTTTAGAATTACTTTTTATATAATTTTAAATATTAACACATTCTAGTTTAATAATAAATCTGTGTTCATGTTTTCCACAAGTTGCATGTTTATCTGCTGGTATAGGTGAGGTGACTAGTAGCTGGTCCTAATAACTCATACATGTAAATGATATTTTTATGCACAAAATTTGTGTGATGTCATAAATACCTGAAGCAGCACTGAGACTCCAGTGTAGTCAAAGAAATTCAGCCCACTGCAATCTAATATCAAAACACGTTGCTCACTGTGACATGACTGCAATGATTCACCTACACGTTTGATAAATGAAAAACTTTAATTAAAAGGGAGAGTAGTCAAGAAATACATATAAGAATAATGATAGTTTAACAAAATAGGCCCAAACTTTAACAAATGGCACATTTTAGAATCAAAATTAGAGCAACAGGATGAAATGACAGTGGGTAGAACGTATTATTAATGAGATTCTTTTAGACAGGAATAGTCTGTCAAGAATTAAAGAATTGCTTCTTCAGATTTGAATTTCTGAATGAGTCAGGATAATATCTTGTCTTGTTTGGAAAAGTTTATATGGGACACACAGACAATATATCTCTTAATATCACATTCATTTCTGTACTATCCAAACATCTGCTATGGCTTAACTAATATTTGCCTGTAAGGAAGAAAAATATGTAGAGTGTTTCATTTTCTTAAGCTATTACTATGATGGTTTTTGTTTGGTTTATTTTTTATATACTATCGCATGTTGGAAAGATGTTGGTAAGATTTGCTAAAGTCTTACACTCATTCTTTAATCTCAGGCCATCTTGTTCTAAAACTAAGAACACTCCATACTAAGTGTACACTGAACTAGCACACAGATATATGATTCCTGGCTTTCATAAAGGGAAAACTAGAAAATAACACACAACTTGTTTACATTGTTCCGTGAACAAATACTAGTTATCTTAATACAGAAAACTAAAAAAAAAAAAACCCAAACACATTAAGGAAAGGAATTCTGAATGTAAGAACGGGTTAAACTAAGTGGTTTTGACAGAGCAGAGGTAAAGATTTTAAACTCTTGAAAGGACTTAGGATATCCCCATGGTATAGATTTCTAGTTGATGCGAATTCCTTTCTGACAGTAGTCTGGAGCCAGAGCCTTCTGGACTTGCACCTCTGCAGATTTACTGTCTTTGTACTGTCTAATGTACATTAATAGATACATATCAAGCAGAAATACTAAATTTTAAAGGAAACCTCCTAATTGACATTACTGTGATGGAAGCCTGGAAAGGATTTATGAGATCTGCTATGCTGCTCACTATAATAATTTCTACATGCCTCCTCTCCCTTTAAAACAAAAGAACTTAGTCTTTCTCCTATTCCTCCTGCTACTTTCCCACCCAAGTAACATCCTGTGTTGCAGTAAAGACTGCCTGGCTTCTATATGGGGAGGGAGGTACAGACCTGTTTCCTCTCTGAACCAGGGGCAAGGGCAGCAGCAGCAGTTTAATTTAGTGCTGACACAGACCAACAGCAAATCAGGATTTCCCAGAGGGGGAAAGGGAAGGTTTTGACAAAGACATTAAGTTGCTACACTTTCCAACATGACTGCTGTAAGGATTATGTCCTCCTGCTCCCCTCCTTCCTGAAAATTGAAGCACCACATTTTGCTTTTATAGGGATTTGTCTTTTTTCTTTCTGTTTTTTATTCTAAAGTCCCCTAGAACAGTTATCAAAGACTGGTTGGTACAAGGAACTACAAAGCAAAATCCTCAAGGCAGGCCTTAAGCAATCAGAAAAGAGGCCTTCAGTAATGTGAGAAACCAGTTGATCTAAAAGAACAAGGTTGAAGCATGTACTGGCAAGATCTTCTTATACATACAGTGCTGTGCACTTTTTTAGTATTTTACAGTTTATTGCTATACAGTCTTCAGTATCACTATGTAGCAATTTGTTTCATCAAAGCACTCTGTCACCCCTAAGTAAATTAAACACTGTAGTATCATAAAAATGTCAAGAGTCTGGTTAATAAATGTAAACATTCAGACAACAGCCTCCAAATCAGATTCTCTACTGTGGCCTTAATGCTTGTAAGTATTTTAGATAAATACAGTGTTTTAATTCAATCCACAATAAAGTCATCTGTATGAAGTATCTTCTGCAATAGGTTGTTGTAGCTCTACCATGGGAATGTATGTGCTCTGGTTTAAGTGTTACAAAGGGTGAGAAGACTGGAATTACCCAGCTTAATCCTTAGCTGAAAGCGAACCCTTATGTTTTTTTCTTTATACTACACTGATATACTGTACAATACTGGTGCCCATCGTGTCACTGATAAGTCAGCTGACATTTCATGAGATTTTTCTCCTAAGCGGCTTTAAAGATCACAAAGACTTAACACACTCTAATCTTATCCTTTTTTTACTTTTACATACTAATATTCAAGAGCCACTCTGAATGCAAAAGTCAGTGCTTAGCAAAACAGCTTCTTCGGCCTTGGTCTGAAGACCAGTCTGTGGCATGCCTGTCTCAGTATGCACACAGTGATTATTGTGAAATAAGCAGGGACTCCTATAGAAAAGGTATTCTTCTGGGTTCCCTGCTTTTTAAAGCTTAAAAAGTCAGTCAAGAACAGAATAAAAATAGCACCCACTAGGCCAAGTTTAAAAGAGTATAGCACTATTTAGCATTCATGCTTCATTCATTTAGGTTTAACTGAAAATACTATTTTCTAAACTTCTTGAGTTCACCCAGAAATAAATAGAAAAACATAGAGCCATTTTTCATGCTTGCATCTATTTTCATTTTAATATCATTTACGGATAATAAACTCACCATGACAACTTCCATTGGAAAATGAACACAGCAACGTGTCCTGCTCACACTAAAATAAAAGCAACAAACTATTAACATAACAAGGAAAATTAATCTGGCATAGTAACCAGAGAAAATCAATTCAATATATAAACATCCTGTTTCTCAATATCAAAGTTCACTCCTCATCAAAATCATGTTTTATGCAATATCTTATTAGATATGTAAGATTTGCTGAGTATGTGTCTCAGTTGTTCTTCTAAAGTTGTATCAAACTGATATTTCACTTTTCTTTTTAGATGACTCAATCATGTTTGGATCCACTAGAAAGCATATTATAAATATGATGCTTTTGGAGAAGCAGGAGTTGCTTAAGAGATGGGTCAAAAGATGGGAAAGATGTTGTAAAGATAAATTCTAGCCATTGATTTTATAAGATTAACTTTTGATTCATTTTCTACCTGCTATAATCTCATCGGCTACACTAATATTTTAGTAAGGACTTTTTTGACATGAAAATTTATTAAAGAATTACCTTTATCTGGATAAAATATAATTATTTCAGTACGAATTTAAAGTTTTCGGTAGAGATATGAGTTAAAACCAGAAGTACAGCACAGAAACAAAATCCAAAGTGAAATGTTTTCATTCCCGTTTTGTGCTACAGAAAGACCTTTATTTCACAAGAAAAAAATGCATGCACAGTATTTCAGACAACCGTACTGCCAAGAACCTTACAGAAGAGACAAATGATAAAATCTCTGTCCTAAGTAACTTATATATTAATTTATTAATTTAACTTATTAGACTTATCAAATTAACTCATAAATTATTTCCATGCAAACCCTAAGTAATTTCTCTGTTTGGAAGTTTGTTATCATACTAACCCTAATGAGTTAGTCTGGCAGAACCAAGGAATAAAAGCAGCATAATCTCTGAGCTGAATTTCTGAAGAAAGAAACCACCCATCAAAGGAGGTATGGGTAGCACAGCTTTTTGGCAAGAGACAGGAGAGGTGGTAGACATAAATTGTTGAATCCTAGAATGACAGAATGTATAGGTTGAAAAGGATCTTAGAGATCATCCAGTTCCAACCCCCTGCCATGGGCATGGACACTTTCCACTAGACCAGGCTGCTCTCCAGCAAAAAATTCGCATCTTTTTCAGGTAGATATGTAGCTACTCATTGTCTTTTCAAAATCACCACCTTATGTTAGCTGAAGTTATGTAAGTTCTGCCAGAAACTTTGAAGAGTTTCAGATCAGTGCTTTCATGGCTCTTACAAGATCATATATAGAAATAGTAAAGATACTCTTTTCAATTAATAATTAGAAAACAATCTTTATCGAATCTGATTAAGATAAGCATTAACTTTATCCTATTCTAAATTAATCATTTACCTTTTTGTATCTGTTTCAATATCTGATTACATTCTCTATGAAATATAAGGAAAGAAATCAAGATCTTCAACATTATCACCATGATTACTCAAGCATATAGCATACCCTACCTTGTTTACATCTTCACATGCCTCATTGCTCCTGTTATCCTTTTGGATTATCTTTGTCAGGTCAGCATGAAATTTCCTAGCATTCAAAAAGACTAATGGGTTGTTGACTGAAACTATGTTTACCTGTTTTAATGATTCCTGTGGAATGAAAGAAACATAAAGCTGAAAAAAATATATCTTGGGTTTGAAGACTAAAAACTGAACTAATGTCTTTAAAAATTCTGAAAATTCCTGGAAATAAACCTGGCAGGAATTCTGGATTGCAAGAATGGTTTAACAGATAACTGTCTTGATCAGTCTTCACATGCAACTGAAATAAAAAGGAAATATAAGTAAACCATAAGGGAAATTATCCTTAATTCAAGTTAGCATAAAAGGAAAATCATAGTCATTATGTTGCATGATCCCCAAACTTAGGAAAGACAAGGTCTTCAGACAGCAAATACCTTTTATTAGGTGAACACATGCATTGTAAAAAGTACACATGGTTTTGAAGCAAACACTGCAGGTGGTTTAGGGAAGGCTGTAAATGTTCATCTTGGTTATCTGAAGATGACTTCAGTACAACAGGGATATTTCTCTGTGGAAATACTTAGTAAATTCAGACCAAGCTTGTTTAGCTCAAAGCATAGATGTTACACAGTGGAATGATTTCTGAAGGATGTCAGATGAAGGTCCCAAACTCACAGGTACCAGTGGGTAATATTTCCCACAAAACATGTACTATTTCTCTCATTCTCAAAGTAGACTTATAAAATACGTTCAAAAGCCGGTAAGAAAATTAATATTTATGTATAAATATATTGGATATCAGCAATCACAAGCCAAGTTGAAATGCTGGTTTTGTAGGTAGGTAGAATTAAACAAATTCTACGGAGCTCTCAATTTTCTACAGGTTGTGACCCATGTCTCTCTTTTCCTTATGAAAATTAGGTCTCAGACAGACCTAATTCAGTGTGGAGCACAGCTGCTTGGATTTCTGCTGTTCCTGTTTCAGACTTCAGGAAAAGTCTGTCAGTTGTTAGGGTCTTCTACTTTTCCTATTTATGTTATTTGATTTAGTGAAAGATATTACATCTACTTGTAAAGTTTTTTTATGTATATTCCAATAAATAGTTATTTTAATCTTCAACACATCTAGCACTGTAAACAGAAATAAGCAGGATCATGTGTGACCTGTAAAAGTTATCAATATTTTCAGTAGCATTTTCTGGTTTTCTACCTGACAAGCAAGCATGCAATTAGAGAATCTGAAACAGACACAGTAACATTGCTCATAAGCACCAGCTGCCAAAAAAGTAACAGGATTAATTCGTCTTTCAGGCAAGTCTTTTATGGCAGCTGGTGATCTCTAAGTTAGAGGTGGAAGTTCAGAACATTCTCCTTCCCAGTGAGAAGAAAAGAAGATCCCTGAACACACACCACCTGAACATTGCACAGCAATGATTCCCACTAGGTATTTTCACATGCAAAGCATGGTACCATTGAGTGTCAGCTTGAGCAGTGTCATAAAAATCTTTGCCTGTTTTGGAAGAATGAAAACAGAACGGAAGACATAATTCTGCTGATTTTAAGGGGCAAGCGTTGCAGCTGACAGCATCTCTGCAGGTCAGCAGGAGACCATGATGGCAGATCAACAGGTCTGATTCTGAAAAGTTCACCAAAAGGATTTTAGTCCAAAAAAAATCTATATGCAATAAAATATCCTATCACTAAATGTAAAAAGGGGGCTGGATAAAGAAAAACCCCATTTTCTATTGAAATAAGATATCTGATTTATGTATAAACTCTCAAAAATGAACTTCTTGTGATAATGGGTAAAAGGAAGTAAAAGCCAAGAATTTGCAAGAGAATATAATTCAAAAATTCTCTCTTCTTCCTAACAAAAGATATGTAATAGTCACACCCAAACACAAGCAAGTGGAGCTGACACAAACCATTCTTTAAGTAGTTAAAAAAGCATGGCATTGCATTGAAGACATGCGGTTTTCCCAACAGACCTTCAAGCACAACAGGAATTGAAAGCTTCACCACAAACCACACAGCTACCTCCTTATTGTAGATTGCTATTCAGACTTCTGGGAACCAGAAGATCTCTCAGACACCACCACAGCAACCATACAGACTCAGGAAACATTTCAAACATCCAAAACTGAGGCAATGAACCCCAGACTATGTATAGGGACTTTGCGCAATTTACCTATTAATGTGATTGTGGTAAATGTCTCATCACCAACATAGCTCAGTCAGTCAAGTGGTAAAGTCTAACTGGCAATTTAAATAACTAAGATTATATGCAAGTAAGCTCTAAAATAGGGGCAAACCATAGGGCAATATGTGGTTGATTGGAGAAATACTCCAGTATTCCATAGATTCCCCTAAAAATGCTATACACAGCTGGAGTGTGGAGACAAGGAGGAACTTTGGTGTCATACCAGAACTGGCAAAGTAGAAGATGAAAACTAAGAAAAAGCAAGAGAAATGTGCAAAGATCGAAGCCTGTGATGATCAAGAAGCTCATAAGCTTACAGAGACACAAGGTGAAAAACTAGAAAGGTTCAAATCGTAATGCCAAATCAAGCAAATGTCAGACTTCGGTATAACTTTTTGTCCAGGATAGGCAAGGACTTCTGTGACAAATTTGACTCACTTATTCCCAGTTCTGATTTGGTTCTAGTTCCTTTTTTAATAAGAAATTGTTCTGAGAGAAATGGACTTCTTTGTTGTGTCCTTGCTAAGAAAGAATATTATCACGGGAGTCTATCCCTGCTGTCACTTAGAAGGATACTGGCAATTGCCCTGTGCACTCTGCACACCACTGTCTATACGCAATGTGTTTCACATAAGCTTCTAAATGCCTTCTTGACTTTTTCCACATTAAACTGTCTTTTCTCTTATTGATGAAATAACCTCTATAAATCTATAGACCTTAATGGCAGGGTAGACCATTAAGCCTGCATATTTTCATGTTGAAAAGTCCTATTGTTCATGTGTAAGCTGTTATTTACCAGGGGAACTTGGATCAGTCTCACATTCATACACTAAAAGTTACCCTAAATGCCTGCTGTAACCCAGCTACTCTAAGTTCAATTAAAGGCATTTTTCTAAATCTTAAAAATACTTTCCTTCTTTGTTTTTGTGTAATAAGCTCTTAAGCAATCTGCTTTCTTAACAAAATGTTATTTTCCCCACTGTCTGCAGACACTAGCTTGTTATTACTTGGTTACTGGCATTAATCTTCATAATTAAGGAAAAAATGCAGGGGAGCAGTTAGCATAAGAAAACAAAAAAAAGTCACATAGGGATTTATACAAAGTATTTTGTGAACTGATATGAATACAAGCAGGCAAATAAAATTTTGGTTACCCATCTCTGACAAAGTTACTGCAACATGTTTCTTAAGAATGAAAAAGGATATAATAATTGACAGATTGGACAGCCTCAACAACAGTGGTTTTAATTCACATTTCAGATTCCTCCTCATTCACATGTAACTTTCACATTCCAGCATTGTTCAGTATGCCAAAATAGTAAACACCCCTAAGCCAAGTTCAGATTTTGAGACCAAGATAGCTCTGACGGAAAACATTTGCCATAAAAAAAGCCCTCTTTAGAGAGCATCTTAGTGATGAGGTAATAACTGATGAGCATGTTGCTTACTGATACATAAGTCTCTTCATAAGCATTAGGAAAAGTACGTAATAGAAACTGTCATCGTGGAGAAGGCAGGATGTCCTATTGATGGGACCCTGTGCTGAAAGGACACATGGTTCTGCTTCTCCTTGGCTGCTGACGTAACATTTCATCTTGGAGGAGAGATTTCACTTCTCCAGGTCATTGCCCTTTTTCTCTTACCATAGGCCTGACCACAAGCAACTTTGATGATAATTGTAATGAAACTAACCAAAAAATGTAAGACTTCTGACTGGTAGATTTAAGTTTGCAAAAAAATCAAATTTCAAAATCACAGTCTTTGGGAGATATTCTTAATTTTAAATGTGAGGGTACCCTTGCTTGAGTACAGTGGCGAGATGTGTGAAGCAGTCTGTGACAACTTCATGCTCCTCTCTCTCCTTTCCCAGACATACATGGTGTCCTCCGAGACAGTCTGAGACAAGAGGCTGGTGGCAGAAAACGGGTCACAAAAGAGATTGTGGATGATGAGAATACCAAAGGACTTTCAGGGAATTAGAAAATCTTAGAGTAATATAAAGAGAGCTGTTGCCTGCTCAGATGCTCTTGCTGCCAAGAGATTTCCTTAGACTTAGGAATTAGGAAACTTTTACTAAGAGCAATTCCTAATTTAAGAATAACAAATAAACTAAGATCTAAGAGGACTTCCTCAACTTTACTTTGCAGGCCAGCAGCAGAACCAGGAAAATATTGTGATTTCTGATGCCCAGATTAGTTTTGTGCTTACCACATCACACTGGCTCTAAATTTTAACTGATCGCATAAGAATGTTCCCTTAACTCACTGCTTACAATCTGGTAACCAATTAGAGAAAATGAGGATTAGTGCAACAAACACACAAATATAACTTACACAATTATCTTCTGTTTTGTATTTATATTCCACTTCTTTCATGTTTTTCAAATTCAGTGTCTTTGCTCTGTAATCAATACACAGAAAAGTCTGTAAGGCAAATTGTTAGTTGTCTTGAACAGAAACAGAGACACTCCCCAAAACTACCGCATAGAAGTTTAAAGTTGAAACAATGCATTCCATATTTATTTTCCTGCATATGATTCTATATAGAGCTTATTTTTTGTGATAATGATCAGGTAAAGAATAAAAGCATAATTTAAATTATAAGATATCACTTTGAAAATATGAGTAATGGAAATTTCTGGTAAATAAACTCTTGGTTTTAAGTTTCATTACTGCTTTGTAGCTGGCCAGAAACCTAGTCTCAAATCAAGGTAGGTAATATATGGAACTACAGCTTCCAAAGGAGAAAGGTTTAATTTTTTTATATATATTTTTTCTTTTTCACCTGGAAAATCATAATTTAAAGAAATGAAAAGAAAATCAAATAGCTATGGATTGTGAAATTTAAGGATGTTTCACTTGTCATTAAAATTAACACATCTTTGTATGCTGAAGCAGAGCATTGGACTCTAGCCATTAAAGTGGAGGACTTAACTGGAAGAGCCAATACCCCTATGTTCTCTATACAGTCAGTAAAAAGACAAAGTTGCCTTGAGAAGGTAGGTCAGTGTAGGACCTTCTGCTTCAATACATCATTTGCAGGAATACATTTAACTGCAGGAGAAGATAACTATGAAACTAGCTATCATCTGAGCTCGGTGCCTAAAGCTAGGAAATGGAAATAATCCCAGAACACAAACATTTAATTGATGTGTCAGTATGCAAGGAGTGTTTGCAGGTACTGGCTAAATGAGGCTTGTAAAAGTCAGCTGTTCTCTCATGTTTTCATAAATTGAACTGTAGCTGCTGCAGGTTTTAATACATTCTGATACATGATGTGTACTTTGTTCAATACTCTGGCATCCAAACAGAAAGTCCACAACAAATCATCTACAGTGTTTTTCTTGCTTCATTTTTGCTGATGCTTTTGCCTATGGCTGGACAGTTTACTACATGTTCTCCTGTTAATCTCATCTGCAGTACAGATTTTAAGACTGTCAGCTTGTTCAATGTGTTTAGATTGCACAGACGATCATGAGCAGCCTGCCTGAAGATCACAGAAGTCACTAGGAAAAGACTTTTTTACTTTAATTAGAGCAGGTTCAGACTCAGATCTGATCAGACAACAAAAGATTATGCTTTTCTGTGCCAGATATCCCTTTCTTTCTGTCGTCCTTTACTAGCAGAATTTACCAAAATTTTAGTTTGCCAAGTAGCAGAATGTTACCACAAAGGTATAGATTGTTTCAGGCAGAACCATCTTCTATAATTTTCAATTGTCTTGCAATTTTTGGCCATTTTCACACTGGATCTGCAATTTATTCCATGAGAACAGAGCTATGCATAAATGGTTACACCATTAACTTTGATAAGCATTAAAATGAGTTGTCTATATTGTGCTTGATTTCAGTGCTATTCAACATTTCTGTAAACTGCCTACAAGCAGCAAGTCATTTCCAGGAGTGATGAACTATAGATTAAGTCTGTAGCACAAAATTATCATGAACCTCAGCTGATATTTTCCTTTACTCATGATTCAAAGTAGCAACTGTAATACATACAAAATAATGAATGAATTTCTGAAGCGGACCTACAAGGATGCTGTAGAGGGATTCTTCATCAAGAACGGCAGTGATAGGACAAGGGGTAATGGGTTCAGACTTAAAAAGAGGCTATTTAGGTTAGATATAAGGAAAAAATTCTTTATTGTGAGGGTAGTGAGGTAGTGGTACAGGTTGCCCAAAGAAGTAGCAGATGCTCCATCCCCAGAGTGTTCAAGTACGTGTTGGACAGGGCCTTGAGCAACCTGGTCTAGTGGAAGGTGTCCCTGCCCATAGCAGGGGGTTTGGAACTAAATGAGCCTTAAGGTCCTTTAAAAACCTGACTATTCCATGATTCTACGATTCTGTTAGCTCTAGTTTCTTTGTCCTGGCTTTTCTAATTCATACATAGAATTTATACTTTTTATTAGACATTAGAATAATGAAGCAGTTATGTTTCATTAAGTTGAATCTGATGATCTTAAATGACTTTTCCAACCTAAACAATTCTATGATTCTGTATATTAACAATGCAAATGTCAACTATCAAATCCAGTGCAGCATAGTATCTGGGAGTTTATAAAGGCACTTTGTTAGAAAGGTTTGCCAGACATACTTTCACCTTAAGGAGTATATAAATGTCTAATGAGAAAAAACTTATATTATTGATCCCTCTGTTGATTTTATGCTACCTTCACCATCATACAGATAAATAATACTAAGACAAATCACAAAATAATGCCATAGTATGAAACGTTTTAGAGATCCTTAGCCTACTGTAAGTGCACAGGCATGACTTTTCCTTTTGAATTCTCTTACCTTGTAATTTTCTGCAAATAAAAACCTGAATTTCATTGTTAAATTCAGAATACCATATGCCTATCCTGACTGTGAAGCAATATGCCAGAAAAAAAGATACAATGATGTGCTACTAGAATGTTTCAATAAATAGTTTCTCACCTGGGAAAGCGGAAAATCACAATTACTATAGTGCAGAGAACACCATACAACAGTCCCACGTTAGCAGCAAAGCATATTGTAAATATGTAGGTACTAACCCATATGCTCTTTATGGAGAGAAACAGAAAGAAGTGGTTAGTTTTAATTCTTGTAACGATCTGCAATTTATGAATCAGAAATAAAGATTTTAAATTGAAGATAGTTTCTCAGAGACGAACAGTTGGATCTTTGAACTCACAAATATTAAAGACTGAATTAGCAATTGAAACAATGCTTCCCTGTGGGAGAACACATGACATTGCACTACTCATCCCAATGCTCACACAAGTTCCTTTGAGAGTTACTTAAAATATCATCTGTAGTTGTGCTAACAGCATAATTAAGAATTAACTCAGTTGTTTTGTGAAACTTTATTTTATTTTTCACATTGAAAGTTTTTGACACATTTCTCACAGCATGCGTTTAAACTCTTCCTTTCCTTTTACACAATGACATACCCTTAAGGTCAAATACAGAGAGCTCCTCTCCCACTAATTGTATAAATGAGAATTATAATTTCAAGTTAATTTAAAGTGGCATTTATCAGAGTACAGCTGACTAAGCCAACTCTATAACAAATAAAAATTATTGAGGAATTAATTTTTTCACATAGAAATGGTGAGATTTCAGATTTCTTTCCCATTTTTTTGGTATTTGTTTAATAAAACTTTGGATTCATTTTAAATATAATTAAAAATACAAAGAAGCATATCTGAAACAATAGTAATTTTGAAAAGGAGTTTAAAATGAAAAAAATCAAAATATTTCAACATTTCAAATCTTTTTCTTAATAATTTTCCAAACAGAAATGCATATGACTGAGAGATATCCAGATTTTACAATTAAAAGGAGAAAAGTATAAATTACCTGATTTCTTATACCAACCTAATATCAGTACATATTTCTTTCTTGAGGGAGCCTTAACCAAAGACTGCCACCTAATCTTTATATTAAAAGTGCTAAAGAAGAATGGAAAGCATTTTCACTCCTCTGGATATACTGATCTCGGCAGGTGTCCATTTCAAAAATTACAGTGCTTCTTGTTAATGTTTGCAGAGGAACAGATCATGTTACAACGGCACAATCAGTGTTAAAATTATCCTTTCCGATGCTTTCACTTAACTCAGGAAAGCCAGAGATAATAGAATACTTTCAGTCTAACCACGGGAATTTTTCTCAAGCAGATTTCAGAACCATTATTTTACGAATTATAAAATGGAAGGCATACTGTCCTAATTTGTGCTTCACAGGGGACAGGGAGTTAGACTTTACTGAGAAACATTTTCCTCCCTCATCTTCAAAATTCTAAAATTCTGCAAAGGTTTTGCAGTCTCTTCAAGGGAGACTTGAAGGGCTTCTAGGTAAAGAGGTAGTTCACTCTTTGAAGCAGTGCTCCATCTCGAGTTATATTTTAAAATGACATTTTATAAAATTTTGATGTATATATTTGCAAATAATACCTTTATGAGCAACATTGAGTTCTGATTAATAAGTAAGCAACTGATTCTAAGCTTTACAAATACAATATATATTTATAAAGGAGATTGCGGGACATGAAAAGGCTAACAGACGTACTACAAACCCAAAATTCCAGTGGGATCAAGAATTTGCCCATGCTGATAAGGCTGAATTCTTAACACCTGAGATCAAGCAATCAACTTCAATTCCAGGCCTGAGCCTCATCACATCTAACTAAATCACAGCTGCAAGACCTAAAAAATTATTCTGTCTCAGAAGGAAACAGAAAGCATGAAAAAAACAATATGAAGTCTGCATAGGAAGAATCAAAGACAAAAATGCTTAAGTACTGTTGAGCACTGAAAAAGCTACTTGAGTACCTTTTTAGCAGCCTAGTATCTTACATCTTAACTGTAACCAGAGACTGCCATTATTGTAGAGGATGAGCCAAAACAATTATGTTCTCATTTGTCAATCATTCTTCCAGTGCATTGAATTGGCCTGAACTCAGTACTTTTTTAGTCAGGGAAGCATCAAACTTGTAGAAAGAAGTTATGTTGATCTCATAGACATTTTTTTAATTATGGGTTTTCACAAGGTTCAGCAAAGAAGTCATAAAAATATCAACATTTTCTTTGGCAACTTACTTTAACATGACTATTATATGGTCCAGGACAGATTGAATCTAATAATTCTTCAAATTTTAACAATAATGTGCTAAAAGCAAATGTTATTCTCTAAAGGCAAAACAAAATCCACCTCCACAGTTCACTTCTACTGTATTAATTTAAAAAAAAATCTTCTAAAGAGTGAGAAAAGAAACAAGCAGAAGATTTATGCTGAATCCTGCATGTCAGAAAGTATTGAAAGCACTGAAAGGTAGAGTGACTGTGTATATATAGCAGCTGCCAATAGAATTCTGTGGACAGTGTGTTTCTATCAAGAGCTTTTTTTTCATAGGGTCTACACATCCACCATTACAGGGTGTCTGAAACAGGAAAAAAGAAGTGGGAGAATACTCTCTGTGCCTATGGCTAAACAATGAAATACTACAGTACCATGATAATAAATGTTTCTGCACCACTTTGAAACTGGATTATAAACTTTTTCATTGCAAACTGATGAGATGTTCAGCTATTGCATAAAGGGGTAGGGCTCATTTCACTTGGCATTAATTACCTACAGCACAGATATCTACAGCTGTGTGAGCTGTCTAGACACCTACCATACACAAAGAAGATCTAGTTATCAGAAGGGAATTTAGAATGCAGTGAAAGTCACCCCAGCCATAGAGCAGAAACTCCTTAATAGTGAAGTGGCATGGTAGTTCTTTAATAGAATTTTCACAAGCATTCTATACACAATCGTGGAATAGTGGAATGCTTGAGAGGGTGCTTGGTTGCAAACTGCCCTGGAGACAGATGGACTGGCATAAATATTATTCTTTAAAAAGAATTTATATAGCAGTCATATTTTCAATAAATTAAATATTTTTAAATTCTTTCTCACTGCACTAACTATAGCAAAAGTAATGTAACTCAGGGTAGCATATTCCTAACAAAGGAAAGATAGAAAATCTCCCCCAGAATGTCATTAGCTAGAAGCATTCATGCAAATTATTATATAGAAGAGATGGCTTCCTACTCTGTGGAAAATATAGCAAAGCCCTCAGAGATCTCAGAGCCCCGTCATGAATCAGGGCCCCTATCTGATGAATACCTGAGCAAATCTAAAAAGGTTATGTCCTCCCTGAGGATATAAAGTTAAAAAGCTCTCAAACATACATGAAATTGGACCAGTGATCTTCAAAATACCATGGAAGACCCTCCCTGTTCCCCCTCCTCCAAACTACTGTGACAAACTAGATTGACAGGGTGGTGGACCCAAGGCTCAGAAACTCACACTGCCAAGATCTTGGGGGATACTTGTTCAAAATGAGACGCTTCTTGTTGGATCCTCTTTAATTGCTGAATTAGCATAATTTTTTATGTCCTTACACGTTAATATATGTGCATACACATACAATTCATACATAAATAACTGCCTCTCAATCATGACACCATGCAGGGAATGTGTAATTTTTACCACAAATTGTTGCCACTCTTTCTGCTTTACAAGTCAGGCATGCAACTTGGCTTTTTCTCTGCTGTGGTCATTTCCTGGCCAAGTCATTTGCACAACTTTGTAATATTTTTTTTCTCTTTAAATGTCTAAGATTTTCTCTGCTAAATAGCAAAAATCCATGTGTAAGATTAACTCCTTAAAATAATCCTTATTCTATTGTCTTTTTCACTTAAAGCATCACCTGAATATGAACACTGAAATACTTTTTCTCCATCTTTGGTCACTTTTAAGTCCAAATCAACAGCTAAAAGAACATTTTCTTCAGCAGTAGTCTTTGCCAGTCTTAAATTGCTCCAGTTTATCTTGGATGCTCAGCCTTAAAAACTAAGTTAATGAGAACTTCACTGCCTTTTTATTGAGACCAGAAAAGTGCACCTTCAAACTGGAGAATAAAGGGAAGTTGGTCAACAAGTATGCCTGCATAAGAAATGAGGCTTGTAGGAAGAATATGGAAATCAACTTGCCATTTGATGACCTGAAAAGTGAGGTACGCTTAAGAGGAATTCCAGATCAACTTCCTGATTGCTCAAAAAAAAAAAAGAGGCAAAAAATTAATGACAAATCATTCTCAGGTTAATGTATAAAATGCAGGTAACACACAAATCAACATGTTGGAAATCACCAACAGATGAAGACAACGGAAGGAGGGCAAATACTGTTATGTATAGAGTTATGTGTTTAGCATATACATCGTGTAGTAGAACGATTATTGATCTGAAATTGTTGAAGTCATCCAAGAAGATGTAGGGACTGACAGAAGACCTTAACTGAGGCAAGAGACCTTTGAAGTTCATATGAATGCTGTGAATAGCAGGAAAGGGCAGTTTAGAGTAGGGACAGTGGTGTTTTACCTAGAAAGAAATTGAATGTGGTTTGAGGGCTCAGATGTAAAACCAGGACATTTCCTGAGGGTTGATAAAAAACAAGTTAAAAGAAAACCAAACCAAATATATGTAGTAATATTCAGATGATAACATTTGGTATTATCTAGTGAGGTCTGTCAGCTTAGCTCCTTTGAACTCAGCTGTTCCCAAATATTAAATATGCAAAAAAAAACAACCCATGGCTGAAGGACAATTTCATAGACTCACAGAATATCTTGAAATGGAAGGGACCCATGAGGATCATCAAGTCCAACTCCTGAGCTACACCTTTCAAGCTGTACTTTTACATTTAAAAGGATGATGTTTTATAAAGAGCTAAAGAACAAATAAATATTACTTATCCTGTTTGTGTTCAATGTGAAGCTTAAAATGTGAAGGGATAAGGTAAGAAACCTCATAATATTCCCTTTCCACACACTATCATTTGACAGACTTATAAGCGCAACAAATCTGACTTCTGTGCTACAATGACACACACCCTTCAAAGAATCAGTTCCAGAAAGGACAGATGCTAATTATTTCCAAATGTTTTGTTAGAGTTTCTATCTTCAAAACAGTTTGGATAACCTGGGTAATGTAACTGATTCATTTCTGATGTGCTGTCAATTGCTGGGGTGAATCTTTTCAGGCCAAAACCAATCCCAGTGTAGCTACTCAAATCACTGGGCTTGGTGGGACTCCTCCGACCAAGCAGCAGTGTAATGTTTATAGCCTTACTTTAGATTATGCTATTTAAAGCAAGATGATTTACCCTGTCAGGCTAAGGACTGATGGTACAATTACTTGAAGATAAATCATTGTTCAAGTATGTTCAGTCAAAAAGTTAAACCAGGCAATCTCCCTCCCTCTATAACCTCTCTTAGTAATAATGACAGATGTTTGAGACATATGAACTACTCCCCCATCTTTTTCCGCCAAAACCACAAAATCAAAATCACAAAGCAAAAAATCAGTCAGGCTGTGAATATACTGTGAAATACATCAAGTCTAGTGAGATTCCAGAATGCTTACTTTCAATGAACTGATAGGCAGGCTAGTTCTCTCTCTCATAACTACCAACTTTCTTAAACCCATTGTCCCCAGAATAATTCTTGATCTACATCATTCACCATCTGTGTCACTGGCAATATGGGGTAGAAAATATTTTCAGAATTTTGCTGCTTGAAGAACATAAGACTTCATGAGAGAGAGAGGTTTTCTTCTGACTGGTGAAAACCAAAAACCAAAACCAAAAAACCCTAACCTCTACTCTTCTGTGACAAAATATGAAAAATCTCACATAGCCAAATCAGTATAGGTTACTCAGCTCTGCTTTCCATACTGAAATATGATATTCTATTTAAAAACAAGTGGTTTACTCAGTTTAGACTTCCCCTTACTGCTGTAGAATACTAAGTCACTGATGTGTTCAAAGCCCAATATTACCTCCAGTAACCTGCATCTCCCACCACAGAAAAGGAGAATACAGCTGAAATACTTTCCTAAATATTTGTTAACTTAAACAACATAAACATATGTTTCAAAAGCTTTATGGAATTCCAGTATGTGTTCATGGAAATGGCTATAGGTTTCGGTTCCACTAATTGGCGAGTATATTAAAAAACTCCCTCAGAAAGAAAACCTAGGAGTCTTCCTAAATATGGAGACATCTTCAATATTTGCTAGGAATTCTGTGCAAATGTACATCAGCCTATTAAGACTCTTCGTTAAACTAGATTTTCATATTATTTCCCTTTCCATCTATCTGCTTTTTCCTCCTTTCATACTCTAGAATCTTTCATTATGGTCAAACAGCATACACTGTTTGCAAAATCTGAAGGAGTTAAGACGATTTACCTACATCACCATAGGACATGTATCTGTCTGCATCTCTAGTGTTTCCAGTTCTGTTTGTCCCTTATGATTATTCCGTACCCTCAGAGAACAAAGATACCAGAATATCTTCCATAATACTACAAGAGCAAAAGCATGCTAACCAGCTAGAGAAGGCATACAAAATTAGACACACATCTGCTCAGATCAACCTGATCTGCTTTTATAAGCATCTTTAGCATTGAATTAGTCTTAATTCTTTAATTTGCTTTAATTCCCTTTTTTAAAGGGGGTATTACAGATGCTGTTATTCTGAGACAGGAAATAAGCCAACAGGACACAAACCCCCTAAAATAATGGCTTGGTTATCTCTTCTAGGGACACAGAATTATTAAAGTTTATATATCAGATATTTGTTAAAGGGTCACAGGGAGATCTCCCTAGATTAAGTTTCACTTACCCAGTCTACTTTATCCACATTCCAATATTTTTTTAAATCCCGGAACTGTATTAGCATCCCCTTCAAGCCCACAACAATAATGCTTGCTAGCACACACTAAAATAAAAAACAAAAGCCATTTGCAGAATCGGTAGTGAAAACAAATGCTCTTTCTTCAGTTTAACAGTCAATATTATAACTAAATCATAAAAAATCTGAAGTTAATGTTTCAAAAATCGCATGAATACAGCTGTAACAGTATCAAATCCATTTGTTTTATTTCCTGAAGGCAATCTATAGGCCGCCTAATTGTGAGAAAAACAGCAGAAACTTCAGGACTTCCCAAAACTCTCCATGCATTGCCAGATCAGAAACATTCTGACATAGTCTGGATTATGTAGTAACATACGTAACATAGACTTCAGATTTTGCACTCAGGAGCAAATCAGCATTCAACTTCTACACAGTGAAGGATTTTAACTCCCCTTCTTCACCACCTAGAGAAGGCCTTTAGAGCAAAAAATCCATAAACTTGGATCAAACCAAATAATTTATTGTTCTCCAAAGAAATGGGGAGGAGATAGACGAAGAAATTATCTGAAGCCAAAAAGGATGGAGTACAAAGCAATAGACCTGCAGCACATAGGTAGGGAGGCTAAGAAAACATAGTAGAAAAGAAATAAAATATCCAGAAAGCAACATATAAAAAGTTTTTTTAAAATATGGAGAGGAGGTGGAAGTCTACAGGAAACCAGCCAAAATTTACATATAATCCCTAAAAATTAAAAAAAAATGAAGGCAGGAGAGCAGCATAGTAAGAAAAAAGACATATTGTGTATCCCTCTTCAAGTGTCCTTATTTTGAATTGTTAAACTATACAAGGATCTGTGTTTGAAAAGTGAGAATCTTCATTTGACACTATGTAAACAATAGCACAAAGTAAATTTTAAACAAAGTTGAGTTAAAATATCATGTACACACATGGCAGAATTCAGGATAATTTTTGAGCTGTATTTTGCATCTTTTAGATGCTTCTGGTTAAAATTAGCTATGAACTTGTAATACCAGAAGATATGTTTCACATAAGGTATATGAAGATATAGCTTATGTGAAAACACACCACCTTGCTCTATAGATTCTTAGTGCAGAAGATGTATTCTGTAACAGAGATGTAAGAACACCTCATAATCTCTCTTAAGTAAACTTAGATCACTAGCTACAATCATTTGTGTCAAATTTATTTGAGAAGCAAATCATACATCATACGCATAACTGGATAAAAATTGATTCATTTCTACCACACTTTGTCAATTTACAAATACAAAGCAATTTGGATGTATATTTTTCATAAACTACGTGCCAAAAGCAAGCGGAAGAGAAATGCTTATGTGATAGCTTATATATGCAGTTCTATATGTGTAAAATCTATTATGTTGTCAGCTCTGCATTTTATGATTCTGAGACTTTGCTGCGCTCTTAATATTTGTTCTCCCGTTGAAATTAAACAGTGCTATTTTAGAGGTAGTACCATCTTTCCCTGAAAGAAATCAAGTCACTAGAAAATGCATGACATCATAATTTTGAAAAAAGAAGATAACTACCATACCATAGGCAGCCAGTACAGCATAGGTCCAATTGCATATATCACCACTAGAATTAACGCACAAGAGATAAGGCAAGCAACCTAAAACAATAAACAAGAAAAGCAGATCAGTCTAACGAATGAAAATTATATTAAAATGTGTGAAAAGGGATAATAATCAAATATTGCAAAGTCAAGGACAAGATGCTGAGCATGTTAGCTGTTAATGTATCTATGGATCGCCAATGCATTTAATTATTGTTTTAATTTCTGGTGACTACCTTCAGCCAGCTACAGTGAAAATATAGTAAGAGATCTCAACATCTGTGCTTGACCCTGTTGACAGCTCACAGACACAGACCACAGCATCCCTTATATGCTTTGTAATTAAATGGAGCATGTGTGTGCAATATCTCACCCAGAAATTTTGCAGCAACCACTCTCATTCTGCAACATTATTTATAGCCATGCACCCTATCTTGCACTAAATAACAGACCTGTCATAGCACTGTGCAAAAGTTATATGTGGAGAACTATCATAATTTTTGCATAAGAGAAGTTTTTTAGCTTCTTTTACTGGGATCAACAGTAAAAAGAAACTATTGTGTTTAGTCAGAAACCACCTATGATTTCACATTATTACCACTGGACTTTAGAAAATGTAGGAACATTTTTTTAATATATAAAAATTAAAATTAATGCAGGTGGCATGAATCAAAAAAATATATGATCTAAGAATTACATTTCTCTTCATAGTATTATATGTTATTAATTTGATGGAAATCTACAGTAAAATTGCAGTCTCCTACCCCACTTTGATTGCTCACAAAGTGGAGTACTTCTGGTCTCATTAAGATACAGTCCGGATTCACATAAGTTTTTTGATGATAAGTAGACAGATGCTCACTTTATTTTTGTATTGATAATATGTTTCTTTACTAAAATAACTAGGTTTCATTTTAAGAGACAAGTTGTTAAAAACAAAACCAGACAAGCTGCTAAAACACTAGAAAATTAAAGCCATGATGTACTTAAAAATACCATCAAGAAGGATAGACAGAATGTTTACAGAAAAAGGGACACAAAATCTGTTGGTGAAGTCACAAGGAACTTTTACCTCCTTCCACTCTCCCAAAAGGAAAAAAACACCAAGTGTTCTTCTATTTGAAGTACACTTCTATCCTGTGATGATCTTTACTGTGAGGATGGTAAGGAATTGGAATGGGTTGCCCAAAGAAGTGATAAATGCTCCACCCCAAGCAGTGTTCAAGGCCAGGCTGGGCAACATGGTCAAGGGTGAGGCATCCTTGCCAATGGCAGGGGCATTGGAACTAGATGATCTTCAGGTCCTTTCCAAACCTAACCATTCTACGATTTTATGATAGAGTCCCTGACTTCTGTTTGTCTTTTTTTTTTTTCTGCAGGAGAATATATCACTGAAGTATAAATGGCATCACTGAATCCCAGACATAGCCGTTGGAGAAGAAAGGGCTGCTCTGAGACCCTGAAAGACACTTTGTATTTCTTTTGTGTCATACTCCAAAGTAAACTGACTTCATTCTATGTAGTCCAAGCTACTCTTCAGTCTTTGCTTATGATCTGACCAACATTTATTAGTGATGCTTTTCTCATCTCTTCATTCTGCTTAGACACCCCAAATACAGAGGATTAAGTAGATGTGTTTCTTTCAAAAAAATAAGTCAGGAGAGAGAATTTTATGTTTATTAAAGTACCCTCTTAGTAGTGCTAATGCATGCCCACACTCACTTGTGGGTGCAGGCTCTGCTATACTGTGAAACCAATGGATAAAAACAAGCAGATACTTGATATTTTTACCATGTACTTCCTACTTTGAACTCAGACTATGGTGGTTTCTTTTTTAATTTCATATTAACAAACTTCTGTCAGGGCCTTTGCCTACATATACCAGAGCCAAAGTGCTCAAACACCCTATATGCCTCCAGGTTATTGGTTTTCAGGTATAGGTCTTCAGGTTACCTTAAAGCTTCCTTGGAAAAGTCATGGTGCAGCACAAATGCAAACTGGACAAACAATACATGAATAGGTGACAGAAGAGGATGTCTGTGAGGATGAGGGCATGGGGTATGACAGTGAATCTAACTCAAAGACATGAAATAGCAAGTAGCAAAATGTTAGCTAAACTATTTGTATATAAATGCTTTTAAAGATTATTATTGGATAAAATACCAATGATTAACTGTGTTCAGAGGACTGTGTAGGTTAATTAGCAATTAGTGAATATGTAGAGTTTTGAAATAAAGCCCTGTATCATTTCTTGGTATTGTGGTATCTGCATGAGAAATAATTGCAGGATATGGTCAAGAAGAAGCTACCTATGGACTGCACATAGCCTTATCAGTTGTACCTTATTACCCTTTTCCTTGTAATTAATGTCCTTTACCCAGGCAAGAGCAACAGTTAGAAGAAGACAATGGCAACAACCACCAAAGGACAAAACATTTAGATGGCAGAATGCCTCTGATGAATCCCTGGAGTTTCAGAGGAAAGAGGGAGAAGCAGTGCTTAGGGGGCTTTCCCAAGCGTGCCCCAGCTGAGGTGGCCCATCGCACAGGTAGGTGACTACTGAACAGTTTGCAGCCTCTCTTGTTCATGAGCATGATTTGAACAGGTAACAGCCTCACAGGGTCACAACTATCATTTTCCTCAGTTGCAGTTCCCTCTTTTCTGAGCTACTGAACTTGTGGGTTTAGCTGTCAACATTAGCAAGTAGCCCCCAAAATCCTCAAAAATCTGAGTGTCTTCTCTGTGGGCTCAGTGTATATTGAGGGACAGGACAAGTACACTGTGTCACAAAGCAAAAGTTAGTAGATTAATTGTTTATTTTCTAATGAGCAGCTCTTAAGGTTACTTTCACTTTAATTTTAAAATCAGGTAGAAGCACCAAATTAAATCTGGTCTTTTTCTAAAACTTCAGTTTAGCCTGTATCATTAAATCCATTAAACACCATTAGAGGGCACTTTTGCTAGGGTGATGACAAATCTCACAGAAAATTGCAAGGGCTTGTGTGCCATTTCCTGAAGCCTGAAAATACAACACCCAACCTCCTTACTGCCACACAATTCAGAGTTTAGATTGAATTAAACAAGTAGAAATTAATAAGTAGAACCATTAGCTTTTCTAGTGAGACAGTTGAATTCCATGCGGGTTGTTAAAAATAACAAATTATTTCCCAGGGTAGAGGAAAGGAGAGAATAGGAAAATATGATGGATAAATCAATACAAGTTCCATTGAGCAGTACCATAGCCTTAATTCTCCTACGTACTCCACTCTAATCCATTACCTGTGTTTTGGCACCTGTACTGTACAAGAGTGCAGTCCGTCCCATCGCTGCAGCACTTGGTATGCAAAAGAAAAATGAAGGAATCACATTGCTGAGGCCATGAGCCAAAACTTCCTGCAAAGTTGTTAAACAGAATATGTTTTTTTTCTTACTTTTCTATCGTTTCAATGTTTCTTGCCAACAGAACAGTCCCCTATGTAAATATTAACAATGACAAAAGATGTTTGAGGGGAAAAAATCACATATTTGCACGATAAAAGGTCTCCCAGTAGAATATATATTCTCACAACTCTAATTTGAATGATAAAAATGCTGAAACAGATTCGTCAAAAGCAGAAGGCACATTTTGTTCACAAAATAAAAGGTATTGCTAAGTTTTAAAGATTAAGTTCAGCAAAAATGTTTGCATCTTGGTGCACATCTGCTTTTTAACAGGCCTCAAGTAGTGTGATCTGGATGGTGTTCAGGTTGTTTCTAGATTATGACTACTGGAAAAAGACAGCCACCGATTTTTTTTTCTCTTGGAACATACTTTAGTGAAAGCAAAATATGGTAGCAATCCTATCTGCATGCTATCTATCTTTCATTTTAAGTGCATTTGGTGTTAGAAGAAAAAAGTGGAGAAGCCACCTTGTATCTGCAGAGCCATCTGAAGAACGTTTTCTAAGCAAGCACCCAACTTGGCTACTCAGCACCATTCATCTCCCCAGACTATAAGGAGTTTGTCTGCTGAGATTAATGTGTAAGGAAAGACCTCAATACTGCTAGAAGTGTTTAGGACACAAATGGTATTGTATCCAGCCAGGACAACACCTGTGCATAACTTTGTCTTCACAGCACAAGACAGCACTACAGTAAAGTTCCCCAGGCAGCTTTACATAGCCACATGCCAACATGCAGAGCCCTGTGCCTGCCTCCTGAATGTGATAGAGCCAGATCCTGCCATTGTAGTCTCTGATGTCATGGAGGTTTTGCTCTTTGGCTCCATTATTCCATGTAGACTTACACCGAGTTTCCAACATCTCAGTAGTTAAGTTGTGTAAGCTATAAGATTTCCAGAGGTCCAGAAAGACAGGCAGGTTGCTGTACTCCGTGTAATGCCCTTCAGACAATGCAGCGTATCTCCCTGAAGTATGACCTGTATTAAGATCAAAATATTTTCCCTCTGCTCCTTGGAGAACATGGCTCTGAAGCATCAACATAAATTCATGACCCAATGTATTCATTCTGAAAAATACTTTAGAGACCTGAGCATTCTGTAGAGCTAATTTGGACTACATTTGGGATTTACTGTAATCAGTGGAATGCCTCAGGATGCCATATGGAGCATACCCTTTCCTACTGGGCATCTATTTTGGAAATCCAAGAATTTTGAAAATTGCTTCACATTTCCAAAACCGTGAAGCAATTTCATGAACCACAGGGAGAGAGAGGTTTACCTGGTTGTCATCCACAGTGTATTTAAATTTTTTAGCAGAGTCTTGGGCAAGAGCTACTGATGCTACATAACCAACCAGGGCTACTCCAAAAGCTTCAGTGACTACTTCAGGTAGGACATTCATGGGTGGTGGTTTTGGAGAGGGTAACCTATAAAAAAAAAAAGACAATCCTTTTTTAGAAGCCTGATACATAGCCTGCATGTGCCTGCAATTCATGAAGATAAAAGATAAACTACCTCTGCATGCACAGCTAACTTTTGTAATACCTGTAAGGTGACAATTTTCAATAATTTAGATTAAGAAGACCTCAGTCTGTATGAACATGCAGAGGAGAATTTGCAGGAGAAGATGAAGCAGTTTCAGATAGATTGTTCTATTTCTGAACTTTAATCTGAGGAATGATGAAGGGATCTTTATAAATTAATTCCGTCTCTGACAGATAAAATAAGCAACCATTCCCTAATTCTGTAATGCTCAATAAAAGAGACTCTTCTGTGTATTTTTTTCTTTTACAGTTGCCTTTCCTGTAATGTTTAATTTAAACATTTTAAACAATTTAGTACTCCTCTAGATTATGGGCAGTGTGGATATTTATTTCATCTAATAGAGGCTTTCTAATGGGGACGGCAATGAAATGCCTCAGTCAAGAAACAAACTATTTTAGTTTGTCTCCATACCCCACAATAAGGGTTCATTCTCTCCAGAGTACAAATCACACTGCCTAGGAGCCAAATCATGCCCTTAACGTTTCTAGCACTCTTCACTGACAAGGCAGTTATGTATTTCAAGTAAATTACTAAAAATACATCAGAATGATCTAGGCTCTGCTCCTGTTTTTCAAATTACAGAATCTTCTCATGCAAGGTTAGGCACAAAATAAGCTCTTGATTAAAGCTGCATGAATACACTGTAACTGTTCATAACACATATTGAAAGGACACACTTAGCCCTGTGTTTATCTCAGATACATAGCATGTAATAGCATACTCTAAATACTTAAAACTGATTTTCTTTCTTAGCTATTTCCTTTATTTCATTTCTATCAGTGTAAGCTGCCACACATGCATTGATGCTGTCCAGGAGTCACATTTTGTGGAAATTTAGGGAAACTCTGCAATTTGCAAAGGGGAGACTATACAAAAGGTGTGCTTACCAAACCTTAGAGTTTGAACATTCTCTCTAACATCTAATCTAATTCCTCTTTCCTGCTAGTTATTTCAAGTATTTTTTTCCTCCCCTTCAAGGTTATGGAGAAAAATGTATCACTATCTGTAGTCAGAAAGCTCTTTTTCTAGATTAAGTATATCTAAGTCTTTTATATTTCTTCAGGAACCACATTTTCTAAAATTACTGTTCAAGTGAGTGGAGAAGAATAAAGTGTAGTAATCTACAAACTCAATCACATTGCAAGTCCTTTCTGCTACAATAATCCAAGGCAACCCTCAAAAAGGAGGTTGAAATAATCTTGTAGAGAGTGGTCTGCCCTCCTGTCTTACATCCATCAGCCATTATCAGGTACTTAGTACCTATTTGTTATTTCATAAAGTAATAAAAAAGCTATAAAAATGTACAAGAAAGCCTGTATTTTGACAATGATATCTATGCAGATATACCTTGATAACATGGGGTTCAATTGTGAGTGTTTGAGGAGGTTGGAAATTAACATAAAACATTTTTGCCCTTATTTCAGACAACTTCTTTGACCTCTTCAGAGACTGTTCTCAGAAGTAAACATATATAAAAAACACAAGCTAATAAGAACCACATTACCCTTCAGGAATATGTCCCACAACTTCTAGCCCGTAGATGTATTCCATATCAGCATAGTAGCAAGCAACGGATGTAGCAATTATCTATTGATTCAACAGAGAAAAAGATGTTACATTTCTATTGCTTTTAGTTTTTCACATGGTCCCTATTATTGCCATACCTAAGCATATGATAGTGTTCATGCATTTATCCTCAGATCAGTCCAGTAAGACGTAGAAATATTATGAAAATTTTTGCAGATGTAGAAAAAAGTCAAAAGAAACTAAGATCTGGACACAATAATAGATTTAGAAAAGATGGCTGAAGAAGAACTATGGTGGAGTTTGTATATTCTACGTTAATGAAAGGGATTTGTACAAGCCTCTGTGAAGCCTTGGTAACCTTTCCAGTTACTGGCTCCATAGTTCTTCTTCAACCATCTTTTCTAAATTCATGCCTATGCTGTGTGAAAGGAAAATTGTAAGTAAAACCACAGAAAACAATAGCATAGCTATTTAACCTTGTTGCAGATAGATAACAAGCAGCCATCTAAGCCACAACTACACAGCACAAGACTTGCCTCGAGTTACAATGTGCCAGTTACTTTTCATTTTCCATTTCAAACTTCTTATGCTTTAATTTTCTAGGCTTCATGTTCTTATGATTATGTAACAAGTAATAAACAAATGAAAAATATTATATAAATTGGGAACGTATGTCACTTCTGTCTTAATTTTATAGCCAGACTGTTCCCTGCTCTTACATTTAACATACAGCCATGAAAACTAGCTGTCCATTTAATAAATTGTAGGCATGACTGTGGATAGCTGTAGACAACACGGTAAAGTTCAGCAGATTAGCTGAACCACTGAAATCTTTGTAAACAAAAAAGCCTGATATTTGATTCTGCACTTACCAAAAGGAGGTCGATGGGAAGAACAACTTTAATGTTTTTCTGAAATTTCTCATTCAGTTCTTTAACAAGAACAAGCACTGCAATGCTCAGCAAGGAGAGAAGTAGAGCTTCCAACTGAACTGATCTGATATTCTCAAATATGTAGGCATAAATCTACAGTGAATGGCAAATAACAATCACATATAAAAAAAATAGATGATTTGGGGTCACATGCTAGGGCATATTCTACACAACTTCAGACATCTTAAATACTCTGTGAGAGCTGAATCGGTACGGCAGGAGCTGAGTCATCTGACAAATTGGCCTACAAATAAGATTTTGCAAGGAAGAAAATCACCAAATATTATTACTATGGACTTCTGAGATCTCAAAAGATGCAGCAAATATTTGTGTATAGGCATTTACAAATCTCTATTGATAGAGGCAAGCAAGATAATTACAGTAAATATGATATGTATCCTTTTCTTATTCAGTCTCATTAAATTCAGTGAGATGAGTATTGCACAAAAACATTGAGAGAAGCTTCCATGCACAAAGGTTTATTTTTCCAGAGTAACTGTATAGCTTCAGTAGGGTAAACTCTCCTTGTTGCTTTCTCTTGACCATCACACAAACAGTACTCCATGGAGCAGGCTTTGATCAGGTCCAGATGCCACATGCATTAATTAGCTGTCAGACTTGTGTATGCATGTTATTGGTTATTTAAATAACTGATGTTATCTACTAAGCCCTGTGTCTCTCCTTGGCCTATAATTAAAAGCTGCAAATGAAGAAGCAGAAAGAGGGTAGGGGACAAAGTGATAATTCACAAGCCAGTGGCAGGTGCTTTCCAGGGGAAACTGCATGGCAAGGTCCAAGAACTGCTGGTGCAAGGGTGCAAAGCGGTACAGCATGATGGACCATAAGGTTTAAAGTCCTGCTGCAATGTGTTCTGGGTTGTTGGTGTACGACTATATCACTGCACATGAGAGAATGACTGCAGTGTTAAAAAAGAAAGAAGAAACTGGATCAGACCTACAGAGCTGCAAACAGGACTTCAGCTTCTCAAAGTGTGCTGCAACATGGTGTAAAACATCACCAGAAAAATATAGTTGGGTCTATGATGAATAAAGGAAATGTGGTGCTGAATATAAGGAACATGTGGAATGGAAATATGGAACAGGAATAGAATTATGGTTTAACCCCCGTCAAGAAGTAAGTACCATGCAGTTGCTTGCTCACTGCACCCCCATCCATGCCCTTGTGGGATGGGAAAGATATTCAGAAGCAGGCAAGACCTGTGGGTTGAGATAACAGAAGTTTAATAATTGAAACAAAGTAAGATATAATGTAACAATAACAAGAAAAAGAGAGGAATAAAACTTAAAAAGCATACATGTTGTACAATACAATTGCTCACCACTCACTGACCGACTCCAGCCCATTCCTGAGCAGCAATTGGCACCTCCTGGCCTACTCCCCCCAGTTTGTATACTGGGCACGGCATGCTGTGGTATGGAATACCTGTTTGGCTAGTTTGGGTCATGTGTCCTCTCTCTGCTCCTTCCCAGCTTCTTGTGTCCCTCCTCACCACCAGAGCATGAGAGACTGAAAAGTCCTTGATCAGGGTGAGTGCTACTTAGCGACAACTAAAACATCAGTGCGTTATCAGCATTATTCTCAGACTGAAGCCAAAACACAGCACTGCACCAGCTACTAGGAAGAAAATTAACTCCATCCCAGCTGAAACCAGGACGAATGATCAGTGATGATGAGTGACAAGGATCTCTGATGATGAATGCAATGTTGTAACAGACTCAGAAGAATGCTGTTGCCTTCTCACCAGCACAGATGACAGTGAACTGTAATTTCATTTCTACACTGAATTTGGGAATCCAGGAAATGAGGCATAAATCAGTGCGTTAACAGATTTACAAAAAGTAATGAAAAAACTTACAAGTTTACTTCTATGGTTAGAAAGGGTAAAAAAATTTATATGGAACTTCTGTCCCAGTAAATCAAGAAATGATCAGATTCCTATCACTAGTTATTTTCAGGCCTCATGAATAAAAGCCTATTGCCTGCAGGAACAGAGAGGCATGAAATATATATATGTGTGTATATATATATATATATGCTTATATAATACACAAGTTTATTAAAGTTGCAGGGGTAAAAAATAAGTAGTCTCAGACTCCTGAATTCTGCATTTATACTCTGGGACCTATTGTGAAATATAAACATAGAGTGAACAGAAGTTAAAATCTAGGATGTAGATTTAGACTGCATCACAAGTAACTTCTTTTTAAACAACAACATTAAGGATAACAAAATCTATCAACTGAGGTTGAAATAATGACATTCAAAAATGTGTTTTCTCTGGCAAATACTAAGATGCCACTAAAATAAATGAAAAGTGACACTTGTAGTCTTATCAAAATAAAGATTAATATTTTTCTGCTCCAGAGAACCTATTCTCAAAAACATGTATAATGCTAACAAGTTTTGACAGTTTGGAGTTTAAATACACATATTTATATTGGAAAGGAAAAGGTACTAGAAATAATATTCTTAGGAAAGAGCCCTGTTCTAGCAAAAGGCGATCAACATGATGATAAATTTTTTTCTACTTTTCTGTCACTCCTTGAAGAGCTGATGCTGATTTTGAAGAATGAGTAGATTGGAATAAATTCCTGATTTTTCTTCTCTCATACATTTTATTTTCATGATCTTAAGGGAAAAAGTATTTTAAAACCTAACGATAGTTGCAGTAAAAGAGACAATATGTTGTTTTCCTCATAAAGAGGAAAAATGGAGTCAAGTCCTTTAAAATTCAGCCCTTGGACCTTTTTTAAGGATGCACTGTCTAACCCAGCACAAATGTTTCTTGGAAGCCCAGAGTACATTTTAAAATCAACTTGTTAAATAATATGATCTATATATGTTGTAACTGTGAAGAATGGTAATCAACCCATGGTTTTTAACCACATATTGCCCCACTGTAATCAGACTATATGTGGAATGTGTTTTGAGTGGCTTGAGACTAAACTCTGTACCCATAACTTCCAAGAATGAATTTTCATGAGAGCACAGGACTTGGTTCAGGGCCCAAGCAGAAGCTGTGATGAATTAGGACAAAAGGAGGCAATTTAGAAAACTATATTGCAAACTGTGCCCACAAACTCACCAAAAGCTAAACTAGATCTAAAGTGAAGTGGTAAGAAAAGGAAGGAAATGGATTAAATCCTAAGTATCTAAGTCAAAGAGATGTGGGCTTGCTCTGAAATGAACAGTGTCTATTGAAGAGTCAGCATTAGCTATATATGTTTATGGAATTTAATTTCATTTTCCTAGACAAAGTGAGACACAAGATTGTGTGAATAAATACAGTTTTAACAAAGGATTACAAAGAAATATGCACAAGCTTTTAGCATTTCTGTCTGTCTTTACAAATTGTTTAGAAAAGGAACTTCCATTTCAATTTTAAAACATATAGCCAAATCTTGTAAACCTTTGTCACAGCTTTTTCAGACATACTGCGTTTTTTCACAGTTGTACCACCAGCCCTATCTCCAAAGTGTTTGTAGTACACTGAAACAGTTCTGGCAGCAATACATAAATATTAAATCAATTACTGCATCAGACTAAAGAGCTTCCACTGACTAGTCTGTTCCCATTTTCCTTGAAAATTTAAAAACACCCATTTCATGTCATTATGACCAACAAAGGCATTTTACAAACCATTCACAGGCTCTTCAGAAAAAGAGACACTGTGGCTATTAACACAATATATTATATTATAACATATACTATAGCCGTCTCTCTGTACTACACAGTTCATTTATTACGCTATCCAGACATTTACTGTACTCTTTTGAGGTGAAAATGTAAATCCTAAATGTAAGCACCTAGGGTTCAAGCTTGTAATATAACCGCTATCTGATTCAAAAGAAATATTTAGAAATGTTTTCATCACAACATTACAAATTCACTATTTTAGATCATTTGATGATGCACTTACTAATTTAGAAATTATGTAGTAGAATTTAGTTTGATATTATAGTGTAAGAAGCAATTTGTTAGTGTCATTATGTAAATAACAAAATTAAAAGATATAGCAATAATATATTCAGCTGTTTGCCTTTAGATTTTTACTTTTTTTGGTTAGTTTTGTGTAAAGATTTTTAAGGGAAATGCGTCAATCCGAAGAGGGATCAGTGAACTTTTTTGGCAATCGATGCAATTTGCACATAAGTGAAAAAAACAATATTCTTTGCACAAATATATATACAGACACTGAATGTCCATGTTCTCCGGCTTTGAGCTCCATTATATTTTCACATGCTTTCATATGGTAATAATGGACACTGTAATGGTTTCTATTCTAGAAAGGATGTATATTCTGGTGTATTAAAGAAAAGCCAAGATTTTTTTCTTTTTAAATGTAATAATGAAAACCTGAAAGACTCATTCTAAAATGAGCATAGAGGCTGAAGCAGACAAAAGAATTAAAGAAATATATTAGTTAAAAAACTTAATACAGTTTAAGACTAAACAACATTTTATTTTCAGAAATGATTCATTCTGATATTTTTTAGACAAATACAACACACTGTGGGGAAAAAAGTACAAGCATCTACTGCGACCTGCATAAGAGGCTAATAGGGGGAAAAAAAGAGGGGAGAAAAAGGATGGATAGTGGGAACATGAAGGCAGCACAACCACAGGGATTTTGCAACAAACTTGCAACACAGCCACAAAAGACCGTTTTGCAAAGTAAGTTTGTCACATTGCATTTCATTTTGGAGTTCTTCATTTTCTCAGAAATCTGTGGAAGGATAAATAAATCTACACATGGATAATGGGCAAATATAGATATGTTTTTCTGTTTTCAGATACTACGTAGAACTTGATAACACTTTTCTTGTCTCTTGTAAAAATCAGATCTCACGTGTAGCCTTCTCTCACCATTTTTCTTCTTCACCTTGCCTTTCCCATTTGCAAAATACCAATTGATGACACAATGTGCAGCTCAGTTGCAGTGTTACAAACCACGTACGGGAAAATGAAATTTAATAAATGACATAAACAGTGTGTAAGCACAAAAATCCCATGGGCTCAATGCCAGTGTAGTAGAATTTTTCTCCACATGCAAAGTTCATTTTTACATATTTCATAATGATCTCACTTGCTATAAAGAATTGGTTTCACGGGCTAGCTTCGCTTTCAACTCTCCTATCACACTTTATTAAACATTCTTATTCCTGCTTTGCCAGCCCAAGTTCTGCCTGAGGTGAAGCAACTGGCTTTGTGAGTGGGAGGTGTTTTGGAGTGAAGAAATTATAAACAAAAGTAAGCAAAAATACCAGTCTTTGGGTTTCACGAATTTGGATTAAAAAACGTGACCAGAGAGACATGCCAAATTTGCCTTTCCCTCTTTAGTTAAATGTACACATTAAGAGATATCTAATTAGTATAATTTTCCTATAAAACTACTACTAGTGAAAAAAGGAAATTGTTAACATTCAAATTGGTGCTTCCAACTTGGGTACTAGACCTTCTCAAAGCAGCCCAAACTCTGAACATACCAGAAACTTTAAAAAGACTTCTCAGGTAAAATTTTCTCTTCTAAATATGAAGACACTTTTATTATTCTTTTAAGTAGTACAGGAGGTTTTCTGTTTATTCATCTGTTTCCACATAACTCTACAGAGCAATCCATAACCTTAAAAAAATCAGGACAATTTTTCTTTGGAAAATGTTCAAAGGGGTTGGTTTGATTTGAGAAGTGAAGTGAAGGGCAAAGAACTTGTTTCAGATATTTTAAAAAATACAGGGGGTAAGGGAATATATTTCTTTCAAAGCATTTGAATGACCTCATTTATGATATGATCAGCACACCAACATGGAACTATTTCTTCATATGATTGCTGTTCTTTATTACTGATCATAATGTATATTTTGATTGTGTCTGGGCTGTGGCACTTAACACCAGTCATCTCTAAAAGATGATAATATTCCTATATGTAAGTATAGTCTCCATGGAAACACCATGAAAAAGAGGCTAGTCAAATGTTATATCAAGAAGTATTTATGAAAAGGTTTTTAAAGAATTACAAAATATTTTAATATATGATGAATCATTTGCAATAGTCTCACAGGCTGACTACTCATAAAAATGTCTGACACTTTTAGTTTTATGTCTACAAAATAAATTACTTGTGTTTAGCACAATAAATTGGTCCTGTAGAATCATAGAATAGTTAGGGTTGGAAAGGACCTTAAGATCACCTAGTTCCATCCCCCTGATGTGGGCAGGGACACCTCACACTAAACCATGCCACCCAGGGCTTCGTCCAACCTGGCCTTGAACGCTGCCAGGGATGGAGCATTCACAACCTCCCTGGGCAACCCATTCCAGTGCCTCACCACCCTCACAGGAAAGAATTTCTTCCTTATATCCAACCTAAACTTCCCCTGTTTCAGTTTGAACCTATTACCCCTTGTCCTATCACTACAGTTCCTAGTAAAACACTAGTTTTACAAACTACAGTTCGTAAAAAACTTACCAATGGATTATCCATATGAAGTTATGCATAACTTCATGCTTCATGTCCATACAAATTGTTATCAAATTTATAAAGTATTATGAAATAACATTCAAAGAAAGCAACACCTTCTTCTCACAGAATTAACATTAACAAATTTCCGAAAATAACAGGAAAAAAAAAAAAAGCAGAATAGTGCAAGAAAATAAAGTCAGTGCTTTTAAATAAGGGGTCCTAATTTAGTGGTTAACCAGATTAAGCCTCATTTCATCTGGTAATCCATTTATTGTTGTCAGTGCAATGTAAATACCACCACAACAAAGAAAGAAATTTCTATTATGATCAAAATATCATTTTGACAGATATCATTGTAATTCTAATAATGCTTCAGCCAAAAGATGATTACGGTCACAGCTTCCAAACTTTAGGTTTGCTGGAATGAGTTACCATAAAGAGTATGTTCTCATATCTTTTATGCAATAGGATTTTATAACTTTATCCTTTAAGGCTTCAGCCAACAATATCTACTTTCCAAAGGGAGTAACCATGATACTGTATGGAAGGCTGTATGCATTTTCTGAAAATTACATTAAAGCTGTACCCTTGAAGTGCTCATGGCAAAGTAATATAATGTAATAATGCAACAAGCAACATATCTAGGGCAATTTTTGCATAGGAGATCTACAAATCACAGGTTATTTTCATTTTGCCACAATGATGGTTAGATTTCATTCAGTAAAATATGAAGAAAATACGTTTAGAATGGCATTTGAACATCCCTCCCACATATTAATACAGAAAGAGTTAAACCTCCCTGTACAAGAGCGTAATTGCTCAGGATAGTAAATGTTCTTGATGCTGTAATACACATATTTTAGATTCATTTCTGTATCCTTTCAAAATAAGACACATTCGTGCTAATTCTTTATCAAGTTTTCCTAACAAGTTCTTACAAACAGACCTAGCAAGATGAATGTTTCGGTATTGCATCTTCTGTTCATTCACAAGCACACATAACAAATTTCTTATATATAGCCAAACAGCATGGTTAAGAAAATGCTAGCTAATGGAATAACCATTTATTTTACTGGACTCACATGAAAAAATCCCAGTGGTCCCGATATATATGGCATTTTCATTCCCAGCAGATACTTCACTTGTGAAGTCACAACATGTGTAGCCGCTCCTGTTGTCATTGCACTTATCACTGGTTCTGTTAATAAGAATGTGGCACTCCCCAGCTGCAGCATAAACATCACTACCTAAAAGGCAAAGGCATGAGCATCAGCAATTATAATAACAAACAGCTTCCTGGTGATAGGACAAAGGGCCAGGCTCCTTTTAACAAACTTTAAGATAAATGAGATAAAGAAAAAAAAACAAAAGTCCTTTGAAGGACAACTATAGCTGAAAATAGAACCCACTGAAGTTCTGTACGTTTACCTGCCTTATGTTACATCACTCTAATACTAGATTAGTAACAAAAGCAGACTCAGAGAAACTTAGTATTCTGTCCATGCGAGCCCAATAAATACTATAAAAAATCAACTCAATACACTGACAACTCAAAAGTTGATGGTGCTAAGACTCTTTCCCATTCCACTGCTATTCTGCCCGAGTAGGCAATGGGCCATATCTTGGTCCAGCTTAACAACCAACAATAGGTTGATACCAGGATTTCCAATATTAGTAATTTCAACTGCTACCAAATTTATTAGGTGCTAAAACTATGGAGAGATGATTCACATGATTAGAGCTCCATCATCCCCTGGAGCTCTGCCCTACCACAGGCTGCTGCATCATCAGTTTTCCCTTCCCAAGTCACACAATAGCTTTGCTCCTCCAGCAAACTCTTAACCTCCTGATATCCCACTGACCCTGCATGCATGGTTCTATATACTGTAATACTTGGCACTATCATGTTGCAATATGATAATACAAAAACAATCAAGTACTGGCAGTCCACTACCTCTAGCTGCATCAGCTTCATATGCTGAGGTTTCTGGTTTTGCAGGTATTCAGGGAGTGACAGAAGTTACTTCTGATGTGGAGGATATAAAAATACTTACTGTCTTTACAGAGAAACAGAGATGTTTATATATTTAAGTGTTCTGTTTGAACAAACTTTATAAAATTACAGTAAGAGTAAACTACTTTAAAGACCATTAAAATCTATTTCCTACGTGTTTAAGAAATATCTGAAGTACTTTAAAGTAAACTATCTGTATATAACCAGAAAATTTAAAACAGGAAAAAAATTCAACATCCCATTTCATAAACACAATCACACATATGAATTGCATTTCTCTGCTAGGAAAAAAAAGAGTAGATTTTGGCTCTGCTTTTTGAAGATTATTTCAACTTTGTTGCAACTTTTACAGAAGTTATTTTAGAGCACATGCCTATAATGAAAGAATAATATTCCTCTCTAATTCAAGAATCTGAACTACATCTGAATCTACTGTTGCAAATACTTCATAGAAATATAGGACAAATACCCAAAGTATTGCATCCTGCTGTGTTTTCTCGCCTTATCCTAGACTGCAATTGCTCTTTTCCTCTGAAGAATAAGATTTGACAGCTCTTACTTCTTTGTCAAAGTTGTTACATACTTACAGATGCTACTGTGGTTTAGGTAACATTTAACCCTTATCTTCTCTATATTAAGTTACATTTAAAATATCTCCCCTTACAGCTGAATTCTACACATTCATAGGATAAAAACAGTTTCTTATTTTTATAGTCTTCTGCATTTGCTATTCTTCGGCCTGAAAAGGTACATGCTCTTGGGAAAGAGTTTTTGTTACAATACTTTCTAAAAGGCTTATGTTGTGCTTACTATACTAAATATCATCCTTTTGATATATATCATGGTCCCCTTTTCTTTATTTCATTTTGTTATGAAGCTAAAAGAATAATTCTCAAATGTTGTCATTTTCTATGCCTGAGCACTATTTATTTTTCACCATAAATTTCACCTGTATGTAGTGAGCTATGCGTACAACAGCACAAAAGAAACAAAAATAGCAGAGTGACTTTTAATTTACCACAAAAACCTCTAGTGAGCAATTTTCTCTTCCATTTGAGACATTAAATCTGAGATATTTTTTTCTGTTTCCCACTAACAGTGTGTGAATGGCTCTGTACTGTGAACCGTCAGAACATTGATTGCCATTCAAGTAATGGTAATTACTGTTATACCCTCAGTGAGTGGTAATTTAGTTAGTCAGGCCTAAAACTGATAATTACTAACTTCAGACATTTTATTTAGCTGTTTGTTCTAACAGTGTGCTTATTCATGTATTTAAAACATTGTTCACAGTATCAAAGTTCAATGAGAATTAAATTCTTCCTTCCCTAGTGAATTTTTTTTGTTTTCTAAGATCAGTTTGTATTGTACGGATGTGAAATTTCTGATTGTGTAATAGCTTACTTTCCAGAGAGATGGATTTCTATTTAACTGTGGAATCCAAACCACAGAGACTATTCCATGAACTACATAATATCACAGAGAAATATTGGCTAATATTAACTTTCAGAGAAAGTTATTGCAGTGAAGCACAGGGAAAAGGTGCCATGGTTGTGGAACTTGGCAACTTCAGCATTGCTCTCATTTATTTTTCTTTACGTAATTTTTTTTACTTTAAATCTTCAGCATTTTAAGGGGATGCTTCACAGGTAGGAACTAAAAGGTCACATTCCAAACACACTATTAATTGTTTGCTTATAACCACTGTTTTTACTATAAGTATGCTTTGAGGTAGCCAATTTCTGTAGCCACTCAGCTAAACAAGCAGCAGCCTACACTCGGTCCTCCATCTCTTACTGCAGAAGGTAGCTCAGAACTTCCAGAAACAAAGGCAATATTTCATCAGATTGTGCATCCGACTTTTTATTTACATTGTAGCTAAATAAAGCATGCATCTATATATCTTCCATGATGAAGACCTAACAATGAAGTAACCAGAACAGAAAATATTCAAGGAGAGTATAATTTTCAGCATAAGTTGGTATGGGAAACTTCTGCTGTCTTTGCAATGCAAGTAATGTACAGAAACTGCTTAGATCAAGACAAGACAAAAAGTTGTATTGAAACAAGCCTCCCAAATCTTGTCGCATGTGAGTTTTCTTGACAGTTACTGTTAAATTTTTTTACCTTTATATAGACCCAGATCAACTCCAATGACACCAAGCTGTGTGGTTCGGTTGATACGCTGGAGGGAAGGAATGCCATCCAGAGGGACCTTGACACACTTGTGAGGTGGGCTGTTGCCAACCTCATGAAGTTTAACCATGACAACTGCAAGGCCCTACACCTGGGTCGGAGCAATCCCAGGCACAGCTACAGGCTGGGCAGAAAAGAGATTCAGAGCAGCCCTGCGGAGAAGGACTTGGGGGTGCTGGTCGATGAGAAAATGAACATGAGCCAGCAGTGTGCGCTTGCAGCCCAGAAAGCCAACCGTATCCTGGGCTGCATCAAAAGGAGTGTGATCAGCAGGTCAAAGGAGGTGATCCTGCCCCTTTATTCTGCTCCTGTGAGACCTCACTTCAAGTATTGTGTGCAGTTCTGGTGTCCTCAACATAAAAAGGACATGGATCTGTTGGAACAAGTCCAGAGGAGGGCCATGAGGATGATCAAGGGACTGAAGCACCTCCCATATGAAGATAGGCTGAGAAAGTTGGGACTGTTCAGCCTGGAGAAGAGAAGGCTGCAAGGAGACCTCATAGCAGCCTTCCAGTATCTGAAGGGGTCCTATAGGGATGCTGGGGAAAAGCTCTTCATTAGGGACTGTAATGATAGGACAAGGGGTAACAGGTTAGGAGTTAAACAGAGGAAGTTTAGATTGGATGTAAGGAAGAAGTTCTTTACTGTGAGTATGGTGAGGCACTGGAATGGTTTGCCCAAGGAAGTTGTGAATGCTCCAACCCTGGTGTTGTTCAGGGCCGGGTTGGACAGAGCCTTGGCTGACATGGTTTAGTGTGAGGTGTCCCTGCCTATAGCATGGGGGCTGGAACTTGATGATCTTAAGGTCCTTTCCAACCCTAACCTATGATTCTATGAACTCTCCAGTTCACCCTCCATGCTGGGCAACAGGCATACAGCTAGGCTGTCACTGCTTCTTGGATAAACATCATTTTAAACTAAGCTCAGCTGACAGTGTATAATTGCGTCACATTGCATAATGCCATAAAAACTTCCACCCACCAAGCAATAATCAAAATGTAGAAAGGTCAGCATTTTTGAAGAAATTTCTAATAATCTACTTTATCTTTACTGTGGTTGTTTTTGCAGCTTTCCCATCTTACATTCTTATACATTGTATGATTTTTCTTCCTTTTGATGCAGACAGACTACAGGGAAAACTGATAGCAAAATGTCAGAACAGCAAAAAATAAAATACAAAAAAATGCCAAAGGTAAATATGTTTCTGTTTTCATTATTTGTACTAACACTGGGCTTTTCTTAAAATGTAAAAGGAAGAAAATTTTCATGTATTTTAGGCTTGTCTTCAGAATTTTTCATTCTTCAAAATTTAGTTCCTAGGGGATGAAGGAATATTTCAGAGAGAGAACAATCACAGTAACAAAAATGTTTTGAAAGACACAAGGCTCTAGATCCTTTGTGCAGCTTCAGTACATCACACCACGTAAAAGGCTCGAGATGAATTTTGCTTTCACCAGGCATACATTTTCAATTAACTTCATGTGAATGACATCAGGAGCTGTCAGAGAAAAGGAAAAAAACCAACAAAAACTCAGGAGAAAGTAAAGGAAAGCAGTCTTGATTTAATGCACTGTAAAAGAGAAAAGATCTTGGAAGCAAGTTATAAAACCAAGTGATTAGACAGAAGAGGTAGCATTTAGAAGAAGAAAAAAAAAGATAAAAAAGAAAACTATAGTTTTGAATGGAAGAAAGATAATATAAAAGAATCTTTTCTTGCAGCTGTCTTTACTGGTCCATAATTTTACTCTGACAAGTAGAAGAAAAGAATGGGGATGGAGCCAGGAGAAAAGAAAAGAAATGAGTAATAGCAAAAAGCAAAGCCCTCTATGTTCATTAATCCAAGCCCTTTTGGTTCTTGTCCACTTTCAATACTTTCTTACCATGACAACACACTCAGTTTATTATTGTTAAAATTCCACTCTTGCTGTGTAGTCAATCTAACTTTATGGTCAGTAAAAAATTTTTATCACTTAACAGCTCTCTGGAATCACTAATGTCAGACTTTCTGTCCGCAGTAATTGAAAGGCTGATGTCATGTTACCTGCTGCATGAATTCAGTTTTGGCAAATGAAACTTAAACCCCTCAGAACTCCACATCGTAGAAGGTGTGGCTTTTTCCCCTGTTAAACTGAATAAAACCTGGTGGTACTCTTTCTGATTTTTTGCTGCATGGGCCAAGAAGGCAAGGTCAGCCATGGGGAATATCTCTTCAAGGGAAACAGTACAGGCTGTGAGCTTCTCATTTAGTATGTTGCATTGGTTATCTCAGAATCAGAAGCTGCAAAAGTGAAGGCATCTACAAACCATATGGAGAAAACAGTCAGACACAGTTCAGCTTGACCAAGTCATCGATTTTAAACCTGTCTCAATAGACATTATAATTGATAGCTTTTGGTCTTTTGAATTGCAGCTCTTAAGTTCACTCTGGGTGACTTGAGAGTGTCTAATAGCTTCTGATGGTGTTTGGCATGAGCTTTCCTCACCCCGGGATCTGAAAAAGACTTCTTTCCGTGGTCTTTCTGGACTAACATGCAGCATCTCAAGGGTCTTTTCCGACCTAAACAATTCTATGATTCTCTGATTCTATGATGTGCCATAATTGTGAGAACCAAGACTCCCATTCAGCCTGGTTGTATTTTTCAACATACAGAATATAAGCCTGCAAGAAGTTACTTCCACTGAAAGAAAAATGAGCTCTTTTCCTGATTATCACTGTATAATAAAGACTCATATTTGCACCTAATGAAAAACTATGTGTAACATAGAATAATGCAGCATAATTTTTCCCACAGGGAAAAAAAGCTTTGGACAATACCATTAGCCTTACAAAAGCACACTTCATATTCAAATGTGCTGCTTCGTTATTAAGCAAGCTGAAAATAGACCATGTAAATTTGTTCTCCTGATAACCAGACACATTTTTTATTTCCAATACTGTAAATCAGCAAATAATTATCTTTAAGTCTTTAAAAAACTAATTGTTGGAATGCAATAACCAGAACTTACAGAAGTGTAGCACAACTGAAGTATGTATCACTGCAGCTCTTAGGAGAATAATGCTTGTTTCTAAGATAAAGCCTATTTTTTTTTCCTCACTCTGAAATGCAAGCAGCTTTCTTCTGTTTATTCAGCAAATTAAATATTGAATTTTAGTTTAGTATTTTGAGGTTTTAATAGACACATACAATTATGCAAGCATTTTTTAACAGATAATATACTAATAAGAAAAAATAACTTACCCAAAAGCTTATTTTTTGAGGATTTTTTCTGCTATAAAGGCATCATCCAATTCTAATTACAAAATTCTTCCATTGGCATCTGATATACTGTATCATTTCATCTCCCCATCAATAATTCTGAGGTATTTAATACCAGGGAATAATTTCATTAATTTGTTTCATTTTCCATCACCCTCTTTATAAAGTAGCAGTTACACAACATGAAAAAAGTCTGCATTATACCTTCCATTCTGCCTTTAAAAATGAAATAGTCTCTGTGAATGCATTATATTTTTTCTTTTTATAATTACCGTTTTTATTTTGTGTTTACTTAATTTCTATTTTAATACTATATTATCTTCATTAGAATGCCTGTTAAGATAACCAAATATCTTCCTTCTTTTATCAATACTGCCTCAAATATTAGATATAAAAAACAGTTAAGGAATCTGAAACTTATTACCTGAAAAAATAATTAAACAACTAAGCCACATATTTAAAATCTCAGAAGCTCCACCTGTTCTTACTTGATGATCAGAAAACAGTTCTAATATATTTCAAGTCTAGATGGCACTGAGATTCACAAAGCATGCTCAGAGCTTGCCTCACACACAGATACACACTTCTAGTCTTCATAGAACGCAAAGCAGCCAACAGCAGTTCATCTCAAAACCACACTTCTTCCATTTGCCTTTCCTCCATGACTCACTAGTTTGTATGTTTTGTTCTTTTTTTAATGCTAATTGGAATACTTAGCCAGGCTACAGGAAAAATAGCATCAAATTGCTTTTCTGGCCAAAGAGGTTCAGGTCTTTATCTACTGTTTCTAAGAAGGAACCACCTGCTTTAGAGAGGGACATTTCATCCTTTGTATGGAAGCTGCTCAATAGGACAGTCATAGAATCAGCTGTTTCTGTATAATTAGTGGCTAATTAGAGCACTGCATTTTAACTTTTTCAGAATGAATATACAGTCTTTCCAGAGAAATACCATCCCACCTCCACTGACAATTCCACTTCTTTTTGTATTTCAGGATGTCTTCAATGGAAAACTGTTGCCTCAACATGCATCACTATATTCTTCTTGTCACAGAATACCACATCTATTTCAAGCTATCCCTTAATTTCTAATTTAATCTGATAACTAGAAGCAGCACACTGATTTAGCTCTTCATTAACAGCAAGATGTGCCCTGTCACCTTATCTAGGAATTGCAGCACCTGTTAGTCAGGAGTCTGGAATCATGATGAGAAACATGGATTCCCACACTTCACAGCACCTAGGATGATGGCAAAGTTTAATCACACCCTTGGTCCAGACTATCACTTGCATATCACATATCTGTAGCTACAAGGTACTACTCTAGGAAATAAGTCTTTTAATCTGGTCTCTAACCACTAGATTTGCATAAAACACTAATGGCAGCACTACAAGCACCAGCTGTTTTAGTATGACTCTAATGTAAGTAACATTACTGACCTGGGAGAAGAGCCCAGGCACACGGCACAGTTCCCTATCAGACCTGCTTTGAAGATGCAGGCAGGGGATTTTTTAGTTCTTATTCCAATCAGGCTTAAATAGGACATAGGCTGAGATAAACCAGCTGGTGCAGTCAAAGGCACACGATAAAGCAGAACTTTTCAGAACTAAAGAGTAATAGGCCTAGAGGATTTACACACCTAATGGGATTGAGCAGCAGCTAAGTAAAATAATTCTGCATTGTCTTTTGATGTCAGATCAGACGCAGGTACCAGCTTGCCACTTGAGGGATTTTGGCCTCTCTGGAGGCAACACAGGAGATTGTCAGGCTCTGAGTGCAGTGCTCCCATATGAAGAACTCCATGGATGCTCAAAGAACTCTACTGATACAAGCACCCTGCACATGATGCAGTGTCGTGTTGCGCACATCAGTGCAACAGGACAGCACATGCAGCAGCCAGGTACAATCAGCATCAGCTCTAGCCTGTATGTCATCCATAAGGTTTTGCTCATGCTGCTACTCCAAGTCATAACTCCATAACCAATAAATGAATGAAAAAAAATAAAGCAACAGAAATGAACTTGCTTCTTGATGTATCCTACTGACTAACATAAGCATATGACCCTGTTCCCACCAAGCATGCAGGCCACTGGAGATGCCATTCCGAGCTCTGTCACTCATATTCTGCATGGTATAGATATCCAAAGCATCAAACACAGGGGTTTATGTTTCTTTCAGAAGGCCAGGTACCCAGAAGGTGTGTTCAATGTCAAATGATAGAACATTACTTCCATTTTAATATTAATGAGGAAAGAGGGAGGTCTTTTTTGAAGACCTAAGCAACTAGCAATGGATAAAGGAACTCAGAGCTTGTGATCAGAACAGAAAAAGACAAGAAATTTATAAGACCTCTGATCATTTAAATAAACTTTGGAGAATCATTTGAAGACATCTGTTTTACTAATTTATTTTGTTTTAATGATGTGTGTGAGAGCTCTAAAAGATTTTAAAGATGTTTTCCCTACTGGTTTTAATTATTGATTACTGCATAGGATTTTTCTTCCAGCAAAGAGCAACAGAAATCCTCAGGAATATGTCAGTGCTTACCAGGAGCTGATTCATGTTTTGTTTCTGAAGGAAAAGGAAAGGGAACACCAACAGCAACTGAATACTGTATTAGAGCTGACTGTGGTTTTACTTCATATTGCAATACCCAATGAACATGTATACATACAATCACTACATCTCAACAAAGGAGTAGCAAAACGCATTAATTTCATCATTCATTAACATTGGACCAGAACCAATGTTCTCTTTTTCTCAAAGAAGTGCTGAAAAGTATTACAAAAGTCATAGTTGTCACAAATGCAGTGTATAAAAATGTGTTCACCACAAACCTGGATGATTCCTCCTAGAAATGAAACTGCTGCTGCAACACCAATCCTCTGCATTTCGAACTCTGATAGGCCCAAAGCTCCTGAATTATTGTTTGTAGTGAAATTATCACTGGCTGAAGGAACAAGACGCTCAACAGCATTGGCAGATATTAAGGAAGTTAAAGCAAAAGTTCCTATAAAAAAAGCCACACATTAGTCACTAGTAGTTCTGTATCTGTCCATACTCATCACTTATGGTCTCTTTTTCAAAACTTGGCCATTATGAGTGACAGTGTCATTTTGTGCCTTCCTGTCATGATAAGAACAATTTTTAAGGTAATCTTTTCACGTAACACACATTTCTTCACGCAAAATATCATTTGTATGACAAATTAAATGCAAATTCTTTTGTAAGTACATTCATTTAGACACGTTATCAAAAGAGTTTTGAAAACAATTCACAATGATTTCAAGTTATCAAAAATGCATTTAATTCACCCTAGATGTGATGAAACAGCATTTTTTTCTGAGAATCCCAAATGTTCACCATCTGTATTTCTAGGGCAATTAATCACACACACACTATATATATAGTACCTAGCCCTTTATAGTATATAGTACCTATAAATTATATATTTTATGATTTATACATATTTATATTTCATAATTTATTTACATTTATTTATAATTTTATATATTTATAATATTTATAATATATTTCTATTTATATTATAATATTTTTATATTTATAATATATTTATATTTTATAATTTATATATTTTATATACAGTTGCCTATATATACCTATCATATATAGCACTCTATAAATATATAGTACCTATATATTTATAGTACCTAGCACTCTAACAGATGGAGACAGATTATGAAAGAAACATTCATTTACTGAAAAAGATAAAGCAAGTTTAATAACACACAGATAAATAAGGATGATAAGTTAATATTAAAAGGCACACTGCATTTCTGCAGAGCTCTAAGAGCATAAGAAATACCCTCCTATCTCAGTCCAATGGTCCATCTTCTCCAGTACTCTGCTTCCAGCTGTGGCAATCAAGAGTGTTAACCAAGGAAAACACACAAGCCTGGCCATTTTCTTCAGGCCATTCCTCTCATAATACTTCAGTATCCATAGCTGTTATGTTATGGAAGTACATCCTTTTCTGGCCCTTTTAGATTTTGTTTATGGACTAGCATTCATCAATTGTCAAAGCTCTGTTTGAAACTGCTTGCATTTTTTGCCTCTACAATGTCCTCTGGGAGCCGGCTCCGTAAGTTCAGTCTGTTGCAGTATTTCCTTTAATCTATACTTTAAAAGTCTTTTAAAGTGATCTCCCACCAGTTTCATTGAGCCCTCCTTGTTACTACTGTTGCAGGACATGGTGAACACAGTTCTACCTTCATCTTGGCCTTCATAGAGTAAATGTCCCAGTGTGAACTCAGGAGCCTATCAAGGACACCTTCACACTGAACCACTGAGACCCACCTATTAATTCTTATCCTTTAACCTGATAATAATCAATAAAAGAACTTTTTTTAATCACGAGGGCACCTTAATTTCTTTAGTAACCTTTGATGTGGAACCTTATCAGTAGCTGTTTGACCATTCTGATATTTTATATTCAAAGTTTCCTTTTTCCAGGTACTTATTGACACTCGTACAGTACTTGAGGAGGTTAGTGAGGTAGGATTTTCCTTTACAGGAGTCATATTAACTCCTCTTCATCAAACTCTGATTATATTTCAGTATTCTAATTTTAATTATAGACAGGGCTGCAGTTCCCAGGATTCCCTCCAGAGCCCTTCGGACAGAGCAATTACACTGTTAACTTGACAATGCTGTGATCTTGTCACAGAATGTCCTTCTTATACCTTTGTCAGAAAGGTGTCCCACTAGTTCCCTTGACAGAGTCCTTGTTTTGATGTACTGAAAGAACATTTAACTTCCAGTTTGATTATCCTTTCCATGGCATTCTTCAAATTCATTTTTTAATCCTTCTATACTACCTGCATATGTTTGACCTTCATTTCATGGCTTTTTCTCACCTCACTTAGCTAAACTTTCCACTCTACAAGTGCCAAATTCTTCCCTGTGACAGTTCCTTTAGGCTTTTTTTTTTTTCCATAAAACACTCAGTATTGTTGTAGGTATTTTACTTTTCAGATTATTCTTTCTTTTTTCTTTCAAACCCATTTTCTCATTTTTACTTAAAAACAAACAAACAAAAAAAGCCAAACCAAACCAAACCCCAAATAAAACAGACAAAACCCAGTTTACATAAAATTGGATTTAAAAACAGTTTACATATAATTCTACCTGAAATCAAAGACCTATATGTGATATTATGACAGATAAAGCTGTTGCAGAGGATGCTCCAGGATCAATTCTGCCACAAACAGCCAAGCAAAAGGGGTAGGTCAGATGTTAGATGTTCAGTTGAGAAATTTTTTAAAGTAGATCAACTTTCTCACAGAAGAGACATTTCAAGTGACTAAAAGTTGACAGAACTGGGACATTGTTTAGTTTTCCATTTCACATAAAGATGGCTGACTTAGCTAACACAGGGCAATTTCATAACCTCTTTACATATGAAAAGCACTGATCTGTGTCACCAACATACATGAGGAATTACAGAGCATTTGAGGATGTGAGGCAGGCAGTATAGTTCCAGTTCAGTCTGCACATCAGAATGCCTTAAGCAAGGTCCGTAGGACAAGTACATGAGACATTTCTACAGAAAGGAACAGCATGTCTCATACATTTATTAAATAAAAAAATTCTTCATGACTGCAGGAGAACTGCCTTGTTGCCTTTTCTTTCTCTTAAGATTAAATTCTGGAGCAGACGTGTGGAAGGAACAGGTTTCCACGCCAAGGACTGTAGGAATCCACAACCATGGAGCTATGGGACTCAGTAAATAATTCTCTGAATTGTATTCCCTTCCAAGGATAAAGCATCACACTTAACACCTTTACTTACCCATTTTATCATCTAGTTACATTACTAGAATTTGTCAGCCAGATACTTATCTGTTTTCTTACATATGATCATATGATGGATTCTTGTCTTCCTAATAATCTTACACTTATAAACTGCTGAAAATACACTGTAAATTATTCAGTTTTGAAACAGCTTTTTAATACAGATTTATGTTTTAATAAGTATACTAATAAATATCTACTCAAGAGTCAAAATTATTTTCCAAATTCTAAATTTTCACTTTTTTTAATGCTTCTTCTTTTCACATGAGCTGAATACATCTCAAAACTCATTACAACATCAGGTCACTAACAGCATCCACGGATCCTTCTCAGCCGTTAAAAGATTCAAATACTTTCTGTGCCTCTAGGGAAAACAAACTTTCATCTTTCCTGTTGCTCTAAGAAAATTTATAGCTGTTCAGCATTTTTTGACATTTTAAAACATTTAAATTTTTTAAAAATTATATGTAAACTCTTTTTAAAATATTAATAATATTTTAAATTAACTGGGGTTTTTGAACAAAAAAGGTGCTCAAAATATGTAGTTAACTTCTTACTAAATGACTACATAAACAGAAGTATCTACACTCAAGCAATCAGATTCTGCATTTCATTTTGCAAGTGATTACCCAGAACTAACTTTTTCTTTTCAGGAGCTTTTCTCCTGTGCAGGGAAAACATACTTCCTTCTGCTTAAATCTTCTGATAACCAGAGGCTGCTTCTCTTTACTCAGTCCTGCTCTGTGTTATTATGGGCCTGTCTTATCCTTCCTGCAAACTTCAGAGACCACCAAGTGCACTTCTGCACACCACTTCCATCTATAATTTAGTTTCTTGGAGTCAGAATCAGAACATTTGCCAGCCTATTAGGAAATCAGTCATTTGATTCTTGTAGCTACTTTTGCTGCCTACCCAATTACTCTGCAAGTGGAGAGGGGTTGTATTGAACTCACTGGAAGGATCTCTAGCTTTAACACAATAGCAGGCAATAGGCACAGAAAGCTTCTTTTGTGAAAAATTAAAGGTTTGTGTTTTAGACAGGTGAGAAGTAATGTGTGTTTTCTGCGGTTTAAGAAGCAGTTGGGACATTTTCATTCCTGCTTGCACATAGCTTGTTGGCTGAGCCCTTTGTTAAAATCTTAGCCTAAAGCAGATTTCTAAAGCAGAATTAAAATATAAAAGCCCTTAATAAACTACATTTACAAAGGAAGTGTCAATGCAATATTAAATTATAATGGTAGGAATAACTGCTATATATTCTTAATGAGGCTCTTTGAAGTACTTAAGCTGGAAAAAAAGTTTTAAAAGTAGTGAAAAAAATCTTATTTCTGTTTAGTCTTCAATAATTTCCCTTCCACTGATCTTATAACAACAACAACAAAAAATGTTCACTTTTCAATTTCTTATTTCTGAAAATGTTATTAACAAATAGACACTTACCTGTTGCAACATGACGTCCCATTCCAAATATGGCATATATAATGACAGGGAAGAAAGAGCCATATAAACCAAAAACTGGATGGACTGAAGACAGAATAGCAAAGGCCAGCCCTACAGAAAGTTAAATGGAATTACTTCAGTATATGAAGATAAAACTGTTCTGCATTCAATCTTTTTTTTTTTTTTAATGAGGAAATATCTACAATTTTATTAAGAGCAGGGAAAAAAGCACACCTTCATTTAGAAAAACCTAAACCATAAGTCAGCCAATTAGGATCAGGAAGAACTGTGGAAGATTTTTCATCTACTGTCTGTCATCAAAATCCTCACACTTTCTCCTGAGTTTTGGTCATCAGCAGAAACAAATGGGTCATAGATACAACCTATGGCACCAGCTACCGTGGGTCCAGGCTGTCTCCATCAGTGCTTTTTTAACAGCCAGTCCTCGCCAGAGGAGGCAGCGCCATTTCACCCCCACCCTCACAAACATGTGTTTGAGACTGCCAGGGCTTCAGGCAGTCAGATGTTTTTTTCTTACAAACAGTTCAAAACCTGTAATTTTGGTTTGGATGCAGCCCCTTCAGTCTGATTTCTTCTTAAACAAAATAATATTCCAGGGTTCATTGTCTTTAGGCGCCTGGTTTTTTTTATTCCTTTAGATGTTAACATTTTTTTTCATTACATAAAGTTCTCGGTCCAGAAATGGAATGTATTTGACTTTCATGTTGAGATGGAGAATGAGCTGAATTGGTTAGGATTTAACTTTACAACCTCATTAGCTACCTTCATTGCTCAGCTATAAAGGACAGGAGGACAGCACCAATCTTCTCTTTAGAAATTCTCAGAATATGCTAAGAAATCAACTTTTAACAGAGACATTCCTGCAAAGCAACAGCTTTGGTTTTTGTTCATGTTTAGGTACCTAAAATAGCAAGCAAGTTTGCCCTGCATTCTTGCAAGCCAGCAGAAGGAATAACGTATGCTTCTGACCAGCAGGTTCCACTGCCCTTTCACAGTTTTACTCCTAGAAGATAAGAGGAGGAAGTATTGCCCAGCAGAGTTGCTCCACAAGTCCTGCTGAATACCCTGTTGTGCAGTAAGGAAGACAGAATTGGCTTGTGTTAAGGTGCCTGAGGTCAACCCTGGTTGACCTGAGTGACCTGTTCAAGATAGCATGTGTATTGGGAGAATGACTATCCATGGTCTGCGGCAGAGGTGCTTCAGGTAAATGAAACAAAGATGCTTTCTGCGTACATCTGAAATATTTAAAGAAAATTAAATGTATGGGATGAACTGTTCTCACCAAACTTTCCTGACTGCTCCAGAAAGTATTTTTTACCCGAAATATTGGTGCATGAGGTTTTAATAATATGGAGAGTGCAAAGAGTATCTTTGCTTAGATGCCTTAAGTGGCAATTCTGAATACTTTAATTCAAGAGCTCTCTTCTTGAATTGTCGTTTGAGTCTGTAACAAAGAGCACGTGGCAGCGGAAGGCAATAAAATGCCAAGAGGCCAGAAGTATCAAGTTCCCTGTGAAGCAGACAAGGCCAAGCAGTTCACCTGTTCTCAGAAAAAAATCACAGTGAAGATTTTGCTGAGGTGGATCTTACACAGATCCTCTTCATCAACATTGTGCTCAGCAACGTAGCACTATCAGTTGTGACTTGTAGAGGAGATATATTTAAACATGTCTGTTTTAAAAATTTGATGTCTTTTAAACAGAAATGGACTTCTCTGCTCTTTTGCCTTTCAATTAGCATATATACCAATCATCACTTCTGCTTTCTTCTTTTAGCACACCATTATCATGAACCAGAAAGATCTTTGAAATTATAGTTCTACATCCATGTTCGCATGATCAATAGATGTAAAAGATGATTCTGACCCAAACGCAACACAGAACGGTCTGCCTGAGGAGAACGAAAACAGCACAGGAGAGAACTGCATGACACTACCCAGTCAAAAGTGAGCGTGGAGTTAAAAATATAGAAAAAAGGAGAAAGATTTTTAAAGCTTGTTCAACGTTGAAATGCTCTTCCATTGTAATATAATTAATATAATAATGAACAAAAAAAAAAAACCTACCAAATAAAACTTTGAAATTAATTCAATGTTAGAATACCACTCACACAGATATTGCAGACCTGAAAAAAACAAGGGCCAGATTTATGGTTAGATTTTCTGCTGTAAATAAGCTATTCCTCATCAGCAAGTCTGTGAGTAAAGCAAAGTTCCTGTTCGATGCGGGGGGTTTGCTGGGCTGGGCAGTTCATTATCAGTCCTATTAGCTTTATGCTCCCATTACTGAAGCATGTCAATAGTGTGCAAGATCAGAAAGGCATTATAAAACAGAATTAGCAAAGACTTCAGGCTTTCTGATTAGGCATATAATGTTCAAAAAGTTCAAATACCTTTAAAGATATTATTGGTAGCATATTTCATTATTTTTTTATTAGACTTTGTTACAATGCATTCCATATGCTCAAGAACTAGCCAAAAGACAAGAAACATTATTTTAGATTTTTTTTTCATTCCCAAAAGTAATAATACTCAAAGAAATAGGTCATAAAATAAGGATCCCACCTAATCTTCACTGGTAATATGGAGAAGCCTCTATGGCAGTGACATTAAGGTTTGCAAACAAGCATACAGATTCCATGGAAAGAAATGCAAACAAAAAATAACCAGTAAGTTCAGATACAGTATAATTATATTGTGGTTCTTTGTTTTAACTAGCTCCTTATCATAAGATAATGCTGAGTGACTGCCATTGAAAACTGTGCTCTCTGACTACCACAAGATGCATAATAATCCTCTGGCATACCACACTGAAAAGCAAGAGATGTTGCACTACTGTCGGTAAATGCCAAATGCAGATAACCATAAAATAACAAGCTTGATACAAATAGAAACAAGGTCACATCCTACCACAAGAGAAAGGTCTCAGTTTAAGTTGATAGCTCCTGCTCATTAAGCTAGCATCATAACTACAGCAATAAAAAATATTTTCCATAGAATTACCTATGAACCACCAGAGTATGGTCACCTAACAGCTTTCTGCATCTGGAAAAACAATCATGGTACATACATATGACCTGAGGAAAGCTATACCATGTCTTTTGGAAATAAGACACGCAAACCAGAAATACAAGTGAAGAAGCAGGAAAATTAGTAAGTCTATAATTAATCTGAGGAATTTCAAAATTTGCATCATTCACTATTTATTATGAAAAAACTATAAATCTGAAAGTTTTCCTAGTAGTATATATATTCAAATTACTTTTTTTTTTTTATTGTAAATTTTTATTCTTAAATGTGACTATAACAATATAGTCATGCCTCAGGTACAGGGAACCCAAAGTGGCACTAGTATATCTTATCCCACTCGAAATGCTATCTGCAGTTGTGGCCACTCCAGCGCTTAAAAAAGGCAATTTCCTCCTTCAGTTGCAAAGCTGTATTATGTAGTAAGAAAGGTATTTCCTGTAGATACCTAAAAATGTAGAATTAACACATATTTAATGAGTCTCCTATCAATCTTTCTTGGAGAACCAACAAATCAGACACCCAGTGATTCATATCACCAGCTTTAATTTATAGGTCCATGGTAGCTAACTCTTACTGAAGAAACAAAACACCAGAGAAAAAAAAAAATAATATATATATTTCATGACAACTTTCCCATAAAAACCTGCAGTTCTGGAAGGTTCTTTGACATCTGGATTAGTCATGATACCTGAATTCACAGTATTTCACAGTATCTGAAAGGGCACTCTCCCAGTATACCATCTGACCATTATACAGAAGGTATGTTTGAGAAACGACTCTCTATTCTGCCACTTTGCAGATCTCCAGGTCCTGACATTGCATCTGGATGTTCAAAAGAAAGGATATGCAAGTATTATGCTAGAAGAAACAAGTGGAGTGCATGACCCATATGTGAATTCTCTGTTCGAGATAGCTTGACCCTTTTGTACATCAAAAAGCTTGGATACAAACAAAAAGACAAAAAAAAAAGAAAAATAAAAAACAAACATACAAAACAAAACAAAAAAAACCAAACAAAAAACAACCCAAAACCAAAAACTAAACCCTACTATATTTTTTTTTTTAATGGAATTTCTGCAAAAACCATGATTCTTGACAGGCAATCAAACATTAAATGTTCAAACCTCTTTGGAATGAATTTGACACAATATTTGAGCACCACAAATATTTTATAAACTATTATATAGATAATTTTATGAACTATTCTACACTGTTCAGCCATAATACCTGAAGAATCTGGTCATCTCCAAAATAAAAATAAAGAGATATTTCAGAGTAGATTATTGAGAAATTCCTCTGCATCTCAGTAAGAATAAACAGAATGAAACCTATAAGATTCTGGCAAACAGGTAATTAAGAGGTAGCTTTTTTGTGAAGCATTGACAATGTGGAGAAGCAAAGCCCAGTCATGACTGATGACAGGCCTTACTCAATACAACCTGGACTTTTAAAATCCATGAAAAGGGCATCCATTTTGACAAATTGGTGGCCAAGGATCTCAGTATTAAGAGTTTTCCTGATCTCTCTGACCTGAAAGACTACAGGTGAAGTAATTTCTTTTTCCTTCAGGAAAGAAGCCTTTCCTGGCTTTGTCAGTCTCTGTCCATGGTGCTCAGGCATGCCCCTGCACAGGGATTGGACATCTGCACAGTTTGTCTGGTCATACTAACACGAGTGTACCTGGACATTAGGCTCCAAAGGATTCAGAGGTCATTCAGAAGCTGAATTCACATTTGTAGTAATCTGTCAGACACATCTGTATTAGCACATGTGTAACTTGTAAGAAGTTTAATAGACATCAGTAATTAAATATTTCATGTACAGCAGCATCAGTGCCTTTCTCTGCTGCAAAGTTGTATAAATATGAAACATTTGCCTAATTTACTTACTAACATGTTACATTTCATAATCAGCTTACATCATTATTCATTGTATGGGAGAACCATAACAAAGCTCAGCTGGACACTCTCTTCCAAAAATCATTTATGAACTATGTGGATTCTCCAATGCATTCTTTAGGAGATTTTTTTGGCTTCATTTCCAAATGTTCTTACTCAGTTTC